CACAGTTCCTGAAGGGACTTGTAAATCTTGCAGTAAAACAATTGTAATCTTAGGCAAGACGGGCTCACAAGGTCCCCTAGTAGTTCCAGTCCAGCTAGAAGAGCACATTGTTTTGTTAACAACCATAAGCACAAATTAAGTAACACAGAAGCTGCTTATTCTTCTGAACAACTTTCTAAATAGCTAAAAATCAACAGAATTTGGTTTTTTTTTTTAATGTTATCGATGGGTATATGTGTGTATATATATATATATATATATATATATATGTTTTATGGGAAGAAAATGAAAGAAGAAGATGAAGAAAGCCAAAGGAGAGTATTTCAATGACAGAGGTAATTAATAGTTTAGTTAACTCGAAAAACTGAAGAGAGGTAGGGGTACAGGATGGGAGTCCATCCAGGTAATCTCAGTCCTTCCCACTGAAAAATTTCAAGTAGATTCAACTGTACTACAGGGTAATAGATTTAACTCAGACAAAATGAACCATGGTTTTTGCAATGCTAACTTTAGGATGTTACTGATTTGATTAATTTCAACTCAGATTTCCCACTCAAACAATTCAGAAAAATTAACAACTGCAAGAAGCTCATCTAAATTGTCATTTATGATGGAGCTTTCATTCTTAGCAATTATCACCAAGAGCAGAACATCAAGCTAAGAGAAAAGATACTTAAGACTTTTTAACCACCTCTGATGTTCTGTTGTGTTATCTTTGGAGAGGCATTCTGCACCTTTATGGCCCTCTTCTTGAAACCTATCTTGTTTGTTCAGATGAAGAGGAAAATTCTAGTTTACTTTGCAGCAAGGACATCACGTGTTTTGCTATTAATGCCTGATACCTGGCTCTACACAGCTTCAATCTATCTCACTTGGAAAGTGCAAAAGCTGTTGTATCAACACAGCTATAGAAGATAGGTCATAAACTGTTGAGAGAGGAATCTAAAGAATAATAGTGCTTTTTTTTTTTTTTTTGGTAGTGGTGGTGGGGTTGTTACTTCCTGCTTTTGGGCTAGCTCTTGGCTTTGTGTCTCTCACCCCATACCCTCAGCCTCTTCCACATCATCTTCAGAGCCAAATTCGGCTTTGATTCTCAGACTTTCATTGCTGTGGAACCTGAAAAATCACGTCCTACCCTACATTACTCAAAATGGAGTACCTGTATGTCACACTAATTAAAAATAAAAAAGACCAATAATTTGTGCATTACAAAGAAACCAAGCTGATGTGACTGTGCCTTTATGGTGAGGTCTGTTTCCTGTGAACAGCTGTTATGGGTAAAGGCAGGGCTATCAATCATTTACCTTTTCTGCTGTGTTAATGTCATAGCAGTGAGTGGGAAATGTCAAAGGAAAATGGCTTTTCAAATAAAAACAATTTTGTAATTCAATCATATTTGACTGACCATTTCCTGCAGTTAAATTCTCTAGATTTAAATAACTGTCAACAATCAATAATGAATTATATAAACATGATTTTCTTTCGGTTTGATCTCTTACTAAAATGTGTCTATTCATTAACAAAAAGCTCTGGCTTAGATAAGGCCAGGCACAGACACACTGGTTTATGCTCGGTTGACTGAATCTTTAATAGTGCATATCAGTGAACTTTCTTGCCAGCTACACTTGCTGTGTCCTTAGCATTCTCAGAAATTGCTTCAAATATTGCAGGAGCAGTTTACCACAGATACGATATACCTAATCCCAGGATTAATTTTGTATGCCCATCAGTAGTGAAGCAGGATGGATTTAATAGCCCATTAGCTTTTCAGCATGATAATTTTCACATCACTTAGCCTGCTGGGCTAATTGCTTTAAAATGGATATTATTGACCTCAGTCCTAGTGACAAATAGAGAATGTCTTATCCATTTTCCAAATGTACATTCTTAGACTCTTGTTTCTTTTGGTCTTGACTGACAATAAATCCCATACATTATGTGCCTGAATATTATAATTTATACTCTATAGGCCCATATTTTTGGGCTTACTAAAGCAACATCTCTCTGCTATTACCCATGACTTGGCTAAGATTTAATTTTTGTTTTTTTTTTTTTCTGTGAAATGTTGCAAGCATAAGAAATCATTGCTTTATCTCTTGTTAAAAATTATTTTTAATGCTAAAAGCTGTAGCAGGTGCAGCAGGGATTAAGCACTTTTGGAATAAACAGCTGGCCAGTATCTTTCCAACCACAGAAGTCTGGTCATCAGGAAGAGAGAACGAAGAACAAATTTGGACAGAGAAACTGTAGGAAAGGAAATGCAGATTCTGGGGTAGAGAAATAGCAAAATCGATCAGGAAGAAGAAAACCAAAGAGTAATGCTGAAGGAGTTTTTATTCATGTGTATTATTTGTGAGTTTTTTCCCTTAGTAATTTAGAGAAAACACAAGCCATCTGCTTTGAGGGAACTTGTGCTAGCTGCGAGCAGCAAGAAATAGAAAAGGAGGGAGCGGAATAGCAATGCAAGTTACAGTGTTGCTTGTGGGGAGGTGAAACAGGGCTGGAAGCTAATGTAGCTAGCTTTCACACCCATGTGTGTCAACAGCGTAACACATACATTTATACATAGGTGGTTGTATTTCTCCAGCACCGATTCCTGTGGGAAACAAGATTTAGATGCTTGACTGTAGGAACTCAAGGTTTGGAACAGATATGCTCACAGTCTCTAGAAGTACCCAAATCCGACAGAGTTTCTGGGTATTTGTAAAATGGTGTATCCTCACAAGCCTCTGAAGTCTCATCGTATGGTTTCCTGGGGTAAGTCAACTTTGTACTGAGATACAGAATGGAAAGTTTTGGTATTTTTAAAAGGTGATTTCTAAACCAAATTAATGTTAATAGAGGTCATTTATTTGCTAGCATAAGCCCACACTGATGCTGACCATAAATAACTTCAGAACTGTTTCTTCATGAAACAAAGTAGAGCCTGCTCTAGTGTAACACAAAATCTGCAGGACTCCTATGGAGCTTTGTGAGTGACTTAAGCCTCAGGACCTGGATTTTCCCTGGGAGCTCAGTTCCACCTTTTAATGACCATGACAACGGTACTGTTTTTATTGACAACTGTTCCTGTGTGACATTCATGTTAAGTACCTTGGGACACAAGCAGCTGAAGTGGGACATTCTTGCTTCAGTTACAAGGCCCTTTGCCTCTGGTTGAAACAAAGCCCAACTCTTCCCTACAGCAGGCCTTGTGGCCAATCATTGCTCTCCAAAGTATCTTCCAGGAAAAAAAACAAACCCAAACAACTTGTTTTTCAGCCTTTAACCTTCTTTTCCCCTAAATGTAGGTCATCTACTTTAGGTCATTTAGGTCATTGGAAAATCTCCAATGTTAGTATGTTTTGTAGTAGGCAAAGAAAAAGAAAAGAAACCTTGTGCATAAGAATAATATCATCATTTCGGAGAGAAGTGAAAAATCAGAGGAAGTAGTGAGAATTTGGTCATTACAACACTGGAAATATTTGTGTGTTTACTTTTAAGAATGCTATGTAAGCAGTATTTAATGGTTTAGCAGTGTCTATCTTTCAATGTGAACAGCTCCTGCCATCCATAATAGAAAACTTTGAGATAAGTGCATTATACTTTGGGTTTAAAACTTAGGTCTGGTTGATCAGCTCACGTAAATCAGCACATCCAGCAAGATCAGAGGAGGAATGTCAAACTACTGATGCTGAACACCTAGTCCTAGATTTTCTTAACTAAACCTATGAGGAAACGGAACATCTTGCTCCCACAGAAGCTAGAGCTAACACATGTACTGACGTCAGAGCTGCAAAACCCGGCCCTAAGTACGTTGCGTTGGGAATCTTTAAACCGTAAGGAGATTTTAATCACACATAGAGTTGCCAGGCAGTTTTGCAACTTAAATCGTGAAATTATAAGTACATGATTCTTTTTTTTATATATATTTTTTACGTTGATTTTGCACATTGTTTAAAAGAATTCCTTTAGGCACCGTTGTAAAGAACAAAACCACATTTTATACATCAGCAGCAGATCCGAGTTCCAGCCGGAGTCAAGGGTTCCTCAAGGATATCAGCAGATATACGTGACTGCTGGCTCTGTTCTCTTTCCTTTCATGAGTAAGTGTCCAGTCGGCCACCGACAGCCAAATTCCCAAGGGGAAAATGCGCACTTCCCATCTTAGTGGCAAAAAAGACAGACCCATGTCAACGTCCTCCTCACAAACCCTGCTGCCTTGCGAAAATCGCACTGACGAGCCCCTCTGTGCAGCGCTACACCCTCCGGCCCGCCCCCACGGCAGTCCCACGGCCGCCGGCAGGGACTCCCTGGCTGCCCCCTCTGGGAAACGCTTCCTGAAAGGACCGCCTTCACCTCAGCCTCCATGGCCGGATTTTAGGACTTTTGGGAGAAGAGGGCACGGCAGAGGCTCACTGGGAGCGCCGAGGCGGGGCCGGTGTTACCTGCTTTACGAACAGCCCCTCTGGCCCTAGCCCGCCCGCACCTCCTGGCTCTGAGGGGATTGTGGGGGACCGGCGGCAAATGGCCGCGCCTCGCGCTCACCCCGAAGGTGGGGGGCGTCGCGGGCAGCCTTCCACGAGCACACGGCGGACAGGGGCGATCCAGACATTGTGCTCAGATCTGCCCGCTTGGGTTCCCTGCAGGACCAGCCCCTGCCCGTCGCGGCGAGTCACGGCAGGTGACACGACCCCGCTAGAGGCACCGCCCCCGGGCTGGGGTCTCGGCGAGAGGGGAGTGCGTCCTCCCGCGCGAGAGAGGGCGCTGTCGCCGGAGAGCGCGTTTGGCTCCGCCGCCGCCATCTCCTTCTCTGATCTCATAAAGGTGTCGCGCAGGTTCCGCCTGGGCTCGTCATTCAGCCGCCCCGGGCCTGGCGCAGCCGTCGCCGGCCTGCTCCTCGCCGCGGCCCTCGGCCCGCCCTCTTCCCGCCCGCTCGCCCTCCCTCTCCCTCCCTCGCGGGGCCGCTGGCCGGCGTAAGCGGCAACCGCGCTGCCGCCCCGGCTGATCGGCGGGCGCTGGTGCCCTGCCCGCCCCTTCCTTTCCTCCTCCTTCCCCCCACCCCGGCCCCCTCTCCCTCCGGCCGGGCCCCGGAGCGCCGCCGCCGTTGGGGTGTGAGTAGGGCCCGGCGCCTTGCCGGGCCGTCCCCTCGCCGGCGGGGCCATGGCCGCGAGCGCCAAGCGGAAGCAGGAGGAGAAGCACCTGAAGCTGCTGCGGGAGATGAGCAGCCTCCCGCCCAACCGCAAGTGCTTCGACTGCGACCAGCGCGGCCCCACCTACACCGACATGACGGTGGGCAGTTTCGTGTGCACCTCCTGCTCCGGCATCCTGTGAGTGTGGGCAGGGGGACCTTCGGCTCCATCCCCCAAGCCGGCCAGGGTGGGGGAGGACAGCCCTTGCGCCGGCGGGGTGACCTCCGCCCCTGGCCGGCCTCCGGGCTCTGCTGGGGCGGCGGCGCAGCGAGCCGCTACGTGGGGTGTAGCGCCTCGCCTTTGGCTTCGCTGCGGCGGCCGTTTCCCTTTTGGGTTCGCCCTTCCTCCCTGCCGCCCGACAGCACTGGACTGCTGGTTCAGCCGCGTCGGAGGAGAGCAGTCGGGAGGCTTTCCCCAGGGTATTCGCTTAAAAATCCCCACTGGAGCCCCAGTCCGGGAGATGGCGGTTGTTAGCCGGGTGTATGAGTTCGGGGCCGGGCAGCACGGCAGCCTTCGTGGCCGGCGGGCAGCAGCAGTCCGGAGTTTATCCTATCGCTGCTCTCGAGGAGGTGTTTTCCTGCACGTAGGGAGTGTAAGCGCGTGCCCACGGCACGCAAGTGAAGGGGAGATCGTGTCCGTCCTCTCCTTCCCGCCCCCCTCCCCCCCCCATCCCAAGGTATCATTAAAGATGTAGTTAATAAAGCATGTGTGTGTAGAATACTTTTGGAAAGAGAAGGGGGCACGTGGTTAACAGTTCCATTTCATGACAGTCTTGAAGACATAGGGAGAGTAATCCTATTGTGAATACCGAGTGTAACGTTTTCAAACTTAATTAACCTAACGTTTAACTTTAAAGTATAATATTAAGTTAAACCGCTAGCCTAGCCTTTTATAGATCAAGTTATGCCCGATAGTAGTTTGTAGGACAACTCGCTAAACTCTACCTTGGAAGATAAACTCTTGCTTTAATAGTTTCATATAATTGATCAGAAAAGTAGTAGAAGGCTTTGCTCTTGCCTCTATTACTTCCTAAAAACTATAAAAGTAAACCTTGGAAAGGGATTAGCTCTGATAAAGTGGACTGCATTTTTCCTGTTCCTCATTCCTTTATGGGCCTCCCCACTCCTCCTTCCTTTTCCACCCTTCCTCCTCTGACATAGCATGTATGAAACCAAGAGCTGAGATCAGTCAGTTCTGAATTTCTGTAATGCATAACATGGGGGAAGAGAAAACCTCTACTATCTTCAGTGTTACTGTTTCCATAGTTAAATCTGTTTGCTAGTTTATGTTACTGTGACATTGTGCTTATGAAATTGAGCAGAATCAAAGAGTGGTGTAAGTAATAAATAGGATGTCAAAGGATACAGATTTGTATTTGACTTAAGAAAAGGTATTCAGGAGCCTAAATAAGTTTCTGTCCCCTTACTGAGAGGGACTGACTACCCCACATAGGTCTTCCAAGTAAAAGGTCTGGTGTTTTAGAACAAAGTTGGTAATTATATTGAGATTCAGGACAAAGCAAACATGTTAGTTCTCTGCTGAATTTACATGGAACAAACTGCCTTTTATACTACTAGACAGCTAATTAGTCTTGGGGTATTTTTCCTTCTGTTTTTTGTAGACTTTTGAACAGGCTTGATGCAAATACAGAAAACGTATTCAGGTTGTGATATTGAAAAGAGACTCTAGTTTTTGACATATACATGCTACTTAACCAGCTCTGGCTTATTGTTTGCTCTGTTAGCAAACTGTTATTTGTGCTGGCATGTGAAACTATTTTAAGCTACTGCACAGAGCTTATTTAATGGTTGCACATGTTCTTACCAGTTAAACTGACAGCATAATAAAACTGCTCCGTAAGATTTTTTTTCTTTATTTTTCAGGCTTTTTGACATTAGTAGAGAGATATGTGATGAGTACTGCTGAGATATTTTGCATGCTTTTAGTAGGACTTGTTCCTTTTATCTCGGCTGTGTTGGTATGGACTACTGAAGTCCATAGTCTATAGTAACCAAAAGGATATGCATGCAGTGAAACAGCTAGCAAGTAGAGAACAGCTGTCACGTGCTGTTAAGTTTGCCATTATTTGGATGATACCATACTTAAAGGAAGAAAGACTCCTTATGAAGAAAAGTTGTTAATGTATTGGTATTATAATAAAACGCAAAGAACTCATTCTGAATATGTAGTGGTTTTGTGTGTTGCTATGAAAAAGAAACCACAAACATTTTTAGTTGATACAGCTAGTAACACCTATGCTTACAGCTGGAGTAAAGGATTGTCAAGAGGACTTAAAGCATTCTTCTGAAATAAAATTAGGCTAATTCTTTCATGTTGACTTGGAAATGCTTTCATAAATTGTGTGCATGATTACATGTGATCCTTTAACACCTTAGAACCTCGCCAGTGGGATATTTTTGTTAGGGATGAGACTAGGTGTAGAGCAATGCCATGCCTGTTTCATAACTAGAAACTGTTATTTTTAACACTTCTATCAGAGAAGTCCTTCGTACAACTTATTTATTTCCAAATTCTCTTCACTGTAGAAGTCCACAGTGGAGAGAAATGACTTGGGAAGAAACCACATAATGGCAAATAGTAAAAAAAAAAACAAACAAACATAAAAGTACAATTTCTTCTGTAGTTCTTAATGGCTGCTTGCATTCTGCCTCATAATACTTGCTTTACTGTAAGGCTTTAATAATCTTATTACTCAGTCTTGTTTGTATCCTATGTGAATGACTTGCATTGCTTCTTGTTTTAATTATTTTTTTCTGATCTAGTACAAGAAGTATTCTTAGAGTTGAGTCCAGTAGACTTTTTAGTTTTTTTTTAAGTATGAAGTGCTCAATGAAAAGTTAAAATACTGGTACATTAACAAGTCTCCTTCAGAAAGGTTTCTTAATTGATTAAAAGTGGTTGCTAACATTGGTATCATCTTAGGCATGTTGTTCTCCATGAGCTAACTCCAAACTTTTTAAATCTGAAGTATAGCTTTTTTTTTCCTTTTCCCCCTAAGTTTTCTGAAGTGTTTCTTCACTGTCTTGGCAAGGACAGTCTGTTCAAACTCCAAACCTTCATTTTGGATCCATCCTTAGTTTCCATCAAGGATTCTGTATGTAGAAAGAGAGCAATGCTATTTCTTACCAGATTTTGCTTGTAAAAAAAACATTTTTTCTTCACTATTTAAAAAAAAAAGTCTGGCTTGTTCCAAGTACTGCTAAAAATGATGAGAGAAATGGTGACTTTGCTGAAAAGATCTGTTTCTGACAGATGTTGAACGTGAGTCTTGTCAAGTTAAAAGTATGAGTAACACAGAGCAGGTCCTTTTCTGTAATACTTCAGGTTTAAGTTTTCCTGTGCAAAATTGTATATGCAGGAGAAAGTTCATGGACAGTGATATTGATAGTGGCTTCCTCTCAAAATACCTCTGCTTGTCTGCTGTTTAAATTCTCTTCCGGGGTGGGGGGGGGGAAGCAAGCACGCTAGCATTACAGAAGCTGCGCCTCATTAAACTTTTTGGTGTTTGGCAAGAATATAGGATGTGTAGAAATGTATGCATGAACATTTCTTCCCTGAGAGTAGGAGGAAATGCTCTAGAGGAGCAGTCTTCTTGGCTTAAGGATTACGGTAATACAAAACCACAAGACTTCTCTTTGTTACAGCAAAACCACTGTAATGTTGGCAGAGGGGTTCTATTGGTTTGACAGAAGTCCTTTGGTTCAAAGGATTACGTTGGTAGCTGTGTCTGTTGTGTTTCTGGGTACTACCATGTGTCCTGCTGACAGTGGCAGCCTTCCTTTTGTCTTATCAAATGCCTCTTTGCCTTGCTTCTCAGCTGTCTCTGCATATCTGTGCTTTTAAGCACTTCTGTACTGCTCAGCCTGCTCCTAACTTTCATAAAAATAACATGTTCTTAAATTCTCAAATGGAAAATATTCCTTTTTGAGTAGGTGTACACTTCCACAAGTTCTGTACTGTAGAAATGTTTTATTTAACCTTGATTTTTTTTTATTTTTTTATTTTTTAATATATATCTCCTGATGTGTTTATTGGGACACTCCTAGCTTTTGCTTCCTCCCAACTTACTGAGGAAGTCTCTTGTTCAGATGTTTGCACTTTGGGCTTGTGTCAGGAAGGAGCAACAAAGAATGTTTAGAGTGTTATGGTTACTGTGGGGGATGTTGAAGCTCTTTAATGCTATTTCTTACAATTATTGGATCATGTGGTCTTTTAGCTGCTTATAATATTCCTAGCTGAAATTTTAATTCTGGGATAGGACTATTTGATGGCAGATACTAGAAACAAAGTAATACCCCCCCCCCCCAAAAAAAAAAAAAAAGAAAAAAGTATGTGCAATGATGGCAATTTATTGTCCCTTTTCCCAAAAGAAGTTTTGCAAAAATTAAAATGCTTTAAATAAACTGTTAGAGTGAAGGTGGCTCTGGTTATGTTGGTATGACTTTCTAGTTCTACACACACACATATATGTATTTTGGAGCATGTTTGGAAAATGGCTCTGTGTATTTTACATGTGCATATATATATATTATCCTATGTTACTGTGTTTCTTAGTTTCATGGCTGGAGAGCAAAGGGGATGTCTATACCACTGTGAATACCTCACAGTTCAGAAAGGATGTTGTTTTTTTTTTGCGGTGTCTTTCTTTGTTGTTGTTGTTTTTTGTTTGTTTTTTTTTTTTTTAAGAATAAGGTTAATCTAACCTTGACTGTGCTTCTAAATGTGTGTGTGAGCCTTTTGCTGTTAAAAATAAATGAGCTTGTGAGATGGTGGGAGGGTCTCCAGGGAGGTCTACAGCTATAAGGAGTGGCCAGTACTGCTTATATTCTCTTTGCTGATAACAGTAGCATAGAAATAATAACAGATGCTGTAACATGGGTATTGTAAAGCTTTTTTTTCCAGACACCTTGGGACACAGGGTGCTCTGATGCTTTGGCAATTGAATTTGAATCAGTAACTTCCTGCTTCTTAGGGAATTGGATTTTACTGGCTTAGACTTAAGATCGTGTTAGAATGTGATACAGGGGTACATGAGAGGTGTTGTGTAGCTGTCGGCCCACTATTTCTTCTGTGGAAGTGACCCTCTGTTCCAGCAGAGCCCAATCTTTAAGTTTTTTTTCCCCTCCCAGCCCTGGCCTTTGCAGACAGATTTGATGACATCTGGAATGGCCACTCTGCCAACAATTACAAGTTCAACCATAATTTGCTACTAAATTATGCTAATAACAAATGTTCAGTGCTCATTGACAGCATTTTAAATGTTTAATGCTTCAATTGCCGGACTTCAGAATCTTGTATCAGTGGCCTAAAGCTTCCTTTGTTTGTGAGAGCACCAGTTTTAACAATGCTTTCTGAGGAACAGAGAGCTCGTGTTCTCTGTAGCTGCCCCTATGATAGGCTGTGTCAGTGGAAGCCTGGACTAAATGCAGGAGCAGTGGAGTATAATCTCATAGCAGGAAGTTCTGGTCACAGTGCTATTCCACAGAAATAGCCACTGAGCATGTAGAAAGTGGCAGTGATGAGTGGGATCTACATGTGGAATATTCTGGCTATGGTGTACTGGATGAGTGCAGATGACGGAATAGTCTTACTCTGTCATCTTCCCCAAGGGTCTCTTAGGAGGTAACAGTGACCTGGATCAAGTGCTGAGGGAGTGTTTAGTTGCTGTCATCTTCAGGAACTCTGTGCTAGAGAAAGGAGTAAATGGTACTGCTTCATGGGTGCAGGTTGCAAATATTTATTCTGGGTCAATTTAAACTTGGGTATTATTAATTTGGACTAAGGGACTATAATCCATTTTATCTTCTGGTAAATATGGAAAATTGTAAAGCATTACAACTGTGCAAAGGTCTTGTCAAATCATAGAATAGTTAGGGTTGGAAAGGATCTTAAGATCGTCTAGTTTCAACCCCCCTCCCACTAGACCAGGTTGCTCAAAGCCCTGTCCAACCTGGCCTTGAACACTGCCAGGGATGGAGCATCCACATCTTCCTTGAGCAACCTGTTCCAGTGCCTCACCACACTCACAGTAAGGTATTTCTTCCTTATATCTAACCTAAATCTTCTCTGTTTAAGTTTGAAAATACATGTGAGGAAACAAACCACGTGGTAGATGCTGCTTTGCTTTCTTGTGGTTTTTGTTTTTTTTTTTTTCTTTTTAATACAAAAAGAAAGGCTTGTGAATTCCTCAGAAGGGATAATCATACTTGGCTGTCTACCAGTAAGCTTCCCCCATATGTAGATGACTTGTTTGTGAATCATTTGGGTCATCAAGTAATCTTTGTAGGTAAGGAAGCATATAAAATATCTTAGGTTTTTCAAGTAAGAGTACCTTTGGTACCTTGGCTTAGTTCTTGAGTTCTGCTTCATAAATCTCACAACTGCTCTGTTTTAGGGACATTCTAGTCAGTTCATGGGTATAATGTTATTGAAAGTGGCTCATCCTAGTTAGAAATAATAAAAGAAGTTAAGGTTTAGCTGTTCTAATGGTAGAATCAAAGTAATTTATCTAAAGAAAATAATACATATGTTGTGGGCTATATTTGTATGCTGAAAAATGCACCCTCTTGTCTTGAATTCTGTGTTCCACTCTGACTGCTTGCACTGCTTTCATAAGAGGAGGCTTTTCACAGGCTTCTTCCCACCCCTTGCCATGTTAAATAAACATGAACACTTGTATGTATAATACTGCAGCTTGCTTGTTAACTTTGCATTTATGGCTATTAAAGTTATGTTCAGGTTTTCCAGTCCTCCTGGACCATGGATGTAGCAACATAGTCTTTTTCATCATGCAAGACACCTAATGCTTCCATGTTGTGATCTGAGCTTTAGGAATGGGAGTGTCTTCCTTTAGCTAGAGGGTATTAAAAAAAAATAAAAATCATCATCTTATTGCACATCATGGATATAATATGTAAATCAGGAAACTTTATAACCTGAACCTTAAAACTCTAGAGCAGTCCTCACTGGAATGCAAGAGGCATGTAGGAAGTTTCTAGTGAGTCTAAACAAAATCTTGTCCAAGCTTTAAGTACATTTGATATTACTGCTTAACAGAACTGAGTATAAGTGTTTGCTGGTGTAAATGTTTTGAAGAGCTGTAGCAGATCAGCGTAGAGTAGGTACTGCTTAAACTTGTGCAGTGCCTTTCAATTGCAAACACAGGTACAATATAGCACTTAAACTATACTTACTGAAAAAATCAATTTCTAGCAGAACCTAGCATGAAAGTTTAGATATACTACCTGTGCTGAAAAACATGTGAATGTGTTAATGAATAACCCTAGCTTTTAAAATAGTCATGAAATAGTTTACAACTAATTGTACATCCTCCTTAGTAGGAGGAGAGTAAATTGAACAGGCTAAGGTAGATGGAACCAATTTTATACTTAATCTGAAAGCAAGTGATTGTAATACAGAACTTGATGGAATGTATTTCTGTGAAATACCAAGTGGATGCCAACCACCTGGCTAAAATTTTTCTGTAAGACTCGAGTATAAAATGTTACTATATGGGTCATCAGATTTTTTGTCATACAGTGTTTTGATTTATAACAATTTAACTTATAGTGTTCTTGAAACAATCATGGAGTTTAAAGAAAACTACTAGTAGTCTTAAATTGGATGCCAGTGGTGGGATGGTTTTTTATTCCTAAAAGCAATGTGAACCAAATTTATAATTAAAGCGTAGTCAAAAATATGAGCAATAAAGCTAACTCTTATCGGTTGATTTGTTAGTTGTTTGTTAGGTCCATATTACATTCTGCAAGTTTCCCCCAGCTTCCTTTCTGGAAACTTTCTGTTCATATATATAACCACAGAATTTTGTGTTCTTTGATGTCTCATAGTTAATGTATAGTCTTTTTTTCCTTTTAATTTATCTTCTCTTTTTGTTACAAAAATCCAGGCCTGACTGTTAAACTAGCCCCGTTGTATTGCCTAAGTTAGTGTCTCCATTGTTTGGCATATGTAGGACGTAATGTTGTTTCCACTGAGCAGAACACGGCTTGATTTTAAGTATTTGTGGGCAAAAGCAGCATTTCGCATGTATTTAAAGAAAGAGTTTGAAAAGAAAGACAGCTTTTTCTTATACTGGCACTGTTGCTCAGCAGGTTTTTTTCTCTATGCTTGCAGGTTTTGTCTGAACTGAGTTTGACAATGTCAGGCTTTGGCAGCACAAATTATTTGAGTTTCTGTTAGCCTTGCTTCAGCAGTCTCTGGCATGGGTATGAGAATAGTGCCAATCTTTGCTTAAGGCAGAGCTGCTGAAGTTTTGAGCTATTACATGAGTAATGGTATCTCTCATTTGAGAACACAATAAAAACATTTTTTTTTTGCTTTTGCTGTTGTGACTTGTGCAGTTTCAGGAGGAGGGAGACAGACCTGTGGATGGAAGGCCAAAAGTGAACTAGAAAGAGATGCTGTCAGGGAACAGGAAGTATAGGTTAAAGCAAGAGAAAAAGAACCTGAGCTGGGGAGTTTAGCTTGAAGAAATCTAGTGATTGGGTGGAAGTTGTACTAAGAATAGGCTGAAGTGAGGGAGGAGTTGGAGGGAGAGAAAACTACAACAGAAGGGCAGAAGAATGGGAGGTGGAAGGTAGAAGCAAGGGTGAACAAGTTCTGGGAAACAGATTAGGTTGTAAACAAAAAAGTCTAATTCTGTTTTCTTAAGTTTGCGTAGAAAGATCAGAGTGAGTTTGCATCTGCTGCTGTAAACATTGGTCTTCCCTAAAGCTCAATTATTCGACTTTGCATGATGAATGTTATTTTAAGATGATCTTATACAGCCTTGGGTTATACATGGCAGTACCAAAATGGTGCATTTTACAGAGATGGCTCCTGAGTTTCAAACTGACTTTTGGTTGTAATGTTAAAAGTGATCGTATGATGCCAAACTTCCTGAATACTGACTAAATTACTACTTGCTTCTTCTTTTAGACGGGGCTTGAATCCACCCCACAGAGTGAAGTCAATTTCAATGACTACTTTCACACAACAGGAAATAGAGTTTCTGCAGAAACATGGAAATGAAGTAAGTATCATTTGGGGATTAATGTGAAAGCGTGAAAACCACATGATAAACTTTAAAACAGTACTTAAGGAAAATGTCTTTTTTTTTCTCTTTTTTTTTTTTGTTGTTGTTGTTCATAGCAAAATGTAGCCTGAAGTCTGAAGCCAGCTTCATTTGAAGTGAGGCTGTTTCAGTTGGGTTGCTGATCATCAGTGTTACGTGTTATTGCCCCACTCAGACAATCTAGATTCATATGATCAGTATTTCTGAATTGGGTTTTCTTTTGCTTTTGCTTAAGGCAATATGCATTTTCTTTTTTTCTTCCTGCGAGCCCAGACCTTGAGACTGACTGCAGCAGTGTTTCCTGAAAGAGCACACTGTGACAAAAATACATTTGTTGCTTGTAGCTGTATTTCTTCAGAGTAGGTGTCAGAAAGTCTTCTAGTTGTTTCAGTAGCCTCATTCTTTAATGAAAGTGTATCAGCATTGAAGGCTCTTGGAGAGGGAGGAAAATGAAATTTTATTTTTTCTTTTCTAAGGATTGTTACCTAATAAATGTCTATAGGTTAGGACTGGCTTGGGGCAGCTCTGAAGGAGAAGTTCTAATGTACTGCCTTTTTATTCTTTTTTAATAATTTTTTAACAAAATCTGGGAGGTAAATGTGCATTGGCTCTATGGGGACGTGTGGGGCACGTAGACCCTGAATGTGGCTATTGCTGTCTTTACTTTGAGGATGGAGTTTGTGTTTTAATACCTGCTATAGCACTGAGGATTTTAGAGTCAGCTTTTGCTGCTGTTCTGAATTAGAAAAAGTTCTATTTCACATTTGCTGTATCTGTATTCTGTTTTAGTAAAACTATTGATTGTAGGCTGCAGAGTGTCTTGTGAACACGTTCTTGTAGAGCTTTGTGGGCATAAATCCCATCATTAGACAAAATGCTGATACTTAACTTTCCTTAAACTTGGCTCATTCGTAACTGTCAGGTTCAAGAATGAAAGTAGAAGCAGCTATTTCTTTTTCTGTCCTGGTAAATATGTGTTACTTGTTGAAATGACTGTTAGTGGATGATTCCTCTAGACAGAGCTGGAACAGGGTTTAAACTCTTGTCATTATAAAATACTTATAATAGTTTTGACTAGGTTTTTTTTAAATTGTTTTGGCATGTTTAAGCTGTATAACGTCACGTGCGTGTGTATATATGTGTATGATATTGATGACATTTTGCAGAGGGAGAATAATAAAGAATCTTTTATGGGTATAGATATAGTATGTTGGAGTCTTTTTCCGCAAGATTAGCTTGTAAACTTCAGCTTCACTTAAGGCTTCGCAAATGTAGAGGAAAATGTGTGTCTATGTGTGCCTCCCTTCTTTCCTCCCTCCTCCTCCACACCTATTTTAGTTTCTGCAACAGTTAGAGATTGCTACCACTTCCAGTTTTCACTGATCTGGAACTTTAAGTGATCGTACTTGGCTAATTAGTGTAGTTGTCCTTCTCATTATAGATCTGACTAGTCTGCCAATCATGAAGACTTACTTGATCCGAAATTTGTTACTGACATAAAAAACGTTCACTGATCTCTGCAATGCTATATGATGTTTCGGGGTATTTCTGTTTGTAGTACTTGTTCCTCTAATTAAAGTATTGCAATGATTTCAGTGAGCTACCTGATAAATGAAAATGCCATCCAGAGTTTAATTTTGGGTTTTTGGATAGCAGTGCATTACCTTAATTCCAAAGTAACATTAAATAGTTATTTGTAGTTGCAGATGGTAGATTTAACAAGTGCTTATGCTGATCATAAATGATATTTTAAACACTGTTAGAAGTTTAAAGCCCAATTTAAACAAATTTTCACTTTGTCACACTGTGTGTTGCAGTAAACATTTTGATTTCTCTTGTTGGTATTGCAATTTATCTTATATGCAGGTGAATATTCCAAAGTATTGAGATGAAGTTCATCTGACTTCACAAAAAAAAATCTCACAAAAAAACCCAACAAACCTTCTTTGCTTAGCTTGCTATATGCAGCATAGGTGGCTCTTATGTATGTAAAAAGTGAAATTTTCTAGGATAAACTTGTTCAAATGTGGAACTGTCCATCATTTTAGAATATGGACATTGAAACAAAGTACAGTCAGTGAATGGCTTAGGTGTTGTAACAGTTGGTTTAGTTCTGCAGGTTATATATATAAAGCTCTAGTTTTTGCAATCTAGTATTCTATTTTTCTTTTATTTTTCTGTAGCTTGTAAAATACTTTTTGTCCCACTTTAACCTCCCATTCTTTCTCCAACATGGCCAAGGCCTCTGTGGTAAGCTTTTTGGCTTCCAGATGATTGGTTGACAATAGGGATCTGTTTCTGAATAGAAAGGAAAAGAGCAAGAAAGCTTCCCTGAGATAAAGTAGTGAGTTGTTCTTAGATGTAGTTTTTCCACTCTTCTTCCAAGAGTACTTATAAGGTCAATATATTGTATAATGGTGAAGGGTTTTTTTTGTTTTTTTTTTTTAAGAAAAGGGTAGAAATAATCCTAATATCTGAAATAGTAACTTTTCTCTAGTTGTCACAAATTGACACCTTTGTAAAACATTGTTCCTAAAGGCTTCCTTGCAGCCACTGCTTTGGGAAGAGACTATTCAGAGCAGCTGTTCAGGTGTGCACCACTACCTTCTTCCCTGTATATACATCTTCAATGAATGTCTTTCTGGCATACGTAACATGAACTTTTTTTTGATGTTTTTAACTGCTTCAAATACAGATTTAAGGATTTTTACTGTGTGAGAATACATCTATGTTTTAGTGTTGCTTGCTCATCTGCTGTTGTAAAACATGTCCGAATTCTGGTTTTGCTAGTGTTTGGATTAGCTCACTTTTGCAGCAAGAGCGGAGACAGCTTCAAGCTGATATTACTCAAGTGCCTTCTGAAGCCTTTTTGAAGGATAAAGCAATTCTGGCTTTCTGGGTAGGATTTTTCTCCTTCTCCTCCTCTTCATGAAGAACAGTGTGATGTATTTTCACACTGTATTCTCATGTTAAGAATAATGAGAGAGTGGTATGGGGATGAATCTGTTTGAATACTCATAATCAAATGATAATGTTGCTTAGCCATCTGATTCAGTAGAGCAATGGTAGTAGAAAGTGAACTCGCTGTTAGCAGAAAGTGGAGGTGGTACTAACCTCATGTTGCCAATAGAGCTGTTAATGAATATTCAGACACTTTCCCCTGAAGCTGAAAAATAGTATTATGAGGCAAATCAGTTACATAATTAATTTTTCTACTACCTTTTTCAAAAGTGCCAGGTATTTTCTAACATTTCCAAATAGCCTAATCTGGTATGTATATGGTGGAAGAAAATTATTTAGATAGTATTGGTCTTGTATTTGGAAAGTCTGTGTATCTTTGGGAGGAAAGGCCATGTATATTTACCTGAGGTATTAAGCAGAACACTATGCAGGTATGCTCAGCTGCTTGGGACTAGTTTAACAGTGCTGAGTTTTGTTTTGGTGCAGGTCTTCCTAACTCTTGATAGCACCTGGGCAAGTGCCAGTTTCCCACACTTTTGCAGAACTCGTAGCGGTATGAGGCTGGTTCAGAGCTGGTGTCTGGTCTGAGCAAAATGCCTTGCTAGAGTCAACTTTACTGTGGTATATGGCCTAGAAACCCTGAATTGGAAAGAGCAGGACTGAGTTGGAGCTGATGAGTCCTGACAGCATGAGCTGTGCAGTCAGGTGTCCTTGTAGTACATCCCTGGTTCTGCTAATACGATATAGAGGTACAAGAGCCGATTGTGTATAGAACAATGTCTTTGTTAGCAGGATTTATTACCTTGCAGTACGTGCTTATGAAAGCAGCTGTAACTTCTGGACCCAGACTGACTTTGAAATCGGTATACTGGCAGTATAAAATTCTTTCAGCCGAGATTACTGAATAATATTCATATCAGAAGTGCTGAATTACTAAACAAAGCTATAATGTGCTTACATAAGGGAACTGTTTCCAAATATCTCTTCCTGTGGTGAGTGTTATGTTTTGGAACATAGCTTTCTTGTGTGGTAATCTGTAATTCTTTGCACTGACAGCTTTATATATGGTGCATAATGGAGGATATTTTATTGGGTGGGGAGGGGGGAAGGAAAAAATCTAATTTGGCATTTACCAGCCTCATGAAATGTAATATCTCATTAGAGCTTTTAAAACTAGACTGACATGTGTAATCTTCCTGCAATGGTATGTCTGAATCTAAACAAGAAGTGCTGTAGGTCTGACGGTGTGCTTTGTCTAGTTGAAATGCAGCTTCTACCAGCAGCAGTACTTGTCCTGTCATAGCTTTTCCTTGCCATGCTGCCTTAACTGCACATAAGAGAAGGCAGCTTCATGAGCACAAACTTAATTTTGCTGGCCGAACTGAATTCCTATTACTCCTAACGAGCACAACTATGCTAAGAGAAGTTTCTAAAGTGTGGTGGCTCAATGTGTTGTGCAGGCAGAAAGCCTTTGTTGCTCCCTTATCTGCCTTCCCACACACACTGGAGGATGTGTATCAGTGACATAGTTATGACAAAGTGGTTATGGTAGTGTGGATTGTTTGAAATATGTAGCACTGGAATAGAAATAACTGAAATCTCAGATTATCTCAGCCTTTCTCCAAAATTTGATGGATACTGCTGTTTTGAGGGTTTGCTTTGTTGGTTTTTTTTTTTTTTTGGTTTTGTTTCGGTTTTGTTTGTTTTTTTTTTTGTAGCAGCTTTTTAATGTGCCTGTCCTTCCCCACCTTCCCAGCTCTGTAAAAACACACAACCCCCTCACCCCAAAACATGACAACAAAACTAGGAGCAAAACCAAAAGCTAAATTCTTGTGGAAACAGGTATGTTTATGTTCCTCTTAGCCCTTGAGCCCTGCTTGGAACTCCTGAAAGCATGAAATGTTACTAGGAGGCTGGGTTTTAAACCAAAAGCCTTTCTGGTTTAACTTAATCTTGCAGAGTACTGGATGTACATTGAATGGGATGACTTCTTTATTCCTTTCTGTCAAAGCTAGAAAGTAGTGTAGAAAACAACTTCTCTCAAATAGAATAGCTGTTGAGTGCAGATGCGGGGAACCCAAAGGTATGAAGAGAAATATAAAGACTTCATTATAACATACGACATGTGCTTGGCCCAGTTTTTCCTTTCAGTGATATATTTAAGTTATGGCAACTCGCAGTTTTTGCTTTGCTTCCTCCTGGGTTTTTATCCAGGTCAGGGTGAGTAGGTTGAAGCTGGTTGCGATTCTCTTTCCCTCTTTGCTTCATGCTGTACTTACTGATCTAATTCTGAACTTCCTGGTATGTAGTTGCCAAATATCTAATGACATCCCTTGCAGCATTAGAGATTGTTGGCAGAGAACAGGTACTGTTCTTCCCAAACCAGTTGTAAAAGTATTCTCATGAACTTTTAAATTTAATGAAGATAACTACCAAGTCTTGTTTTCTACTTCTTATTACCTGTCAAGATAACGCTTTACTTTGTTTTGTTACTACTTTGTGTAGTAGAGGCAAGCAGAACTTCAGTCTTGCTTCTGTCAGCCCTTCAACACAAGTAGACTTTCAAATGCTGCATACACTTAATTATTATAACTTCAATGCTGCCTTTTTTTTTCTTTTTCCTTGCTGCATTGGTGAACCAGTGGGACATGGACTAATTATACTTTTCAGGGACAGTGGACAATGGTTATGGATTGTTGGATATGTTCCACTGTTTCTAGGGGTTTCCACATAACTTGAATGTTTACTCTTGGCTTCAGCTTGTCAGGCTCTTCTCCTCCAAGCAGAGCATTCTGTTTAATAAAGCTTTGATTATCAAAAGGAGGAGCATAGCAAGACTCTTGGTGAATAACAAAGCTTTTGAGCGGAGGCTTACTTTTGCTGCTGTTGCAAAAAGAATAATATTGGTATTAAACGGCTGAACTGAAATATGACATCACCAGAAACGGTGTGATGTAGAAGGATTTTGGAAAGCCATAGAATTTTTGGGCACAGTAACTTAACAGTAATGTTGTATAACTTTGTGGTGAGTTGAGATGCTTCTTCACGTGTTCCCTGTAAAAGCAAAGGAATGAGTAATTCTGTCAAAATGGAGTTTAAGATGCATTGTGAAACTTGGGCAGTAGCCCATATTGAAAAAGAGAAATGTTTTGCAATGTGCTCTTTGGGATATCAGTTCAAATTTCTCAAAACATATTGTTCTGAATTTTTCCTTGAAAATTGCTTCCTTGGCTGTTTGGTGGTGTTTTGTTTTTGTTTGTTTGTTTGTTTGTTTGTTTTGTGTGTGGTGTTTTTTCCTTCTCTCGAATAGTAAGTTTGTATCGAAAAAGAAGAAAACTTTGACCATGAAGACTGGTAATTTAAAGCTCAGATTTGTGCAGATTTGTATATCCTTTACTGCCTTTTTGCACCTTTTTTTCCCCATGTCCTGCAAGAAATGACTGAGCTAGAGTCAGCACATGCTGCGAATAACTCTGCTAATTTGTTCAGGTGTCATGCCTAGCCAGCTGTCAGGCAAGACAGAACATAGAACTGAAGTTCAAACCAATCTAATTGTAACAAAAAAAAAACCAAACCCCAAATAACAAAAAAATAAAACAACCCAAAACCAAAACAGCAAAAACCCTACCAACCAACCACATTGTGGAAATGTAGAAAAACCAATCTTTTTAGTATCTCAAGCACTTTCAAATTCAGATAGTGGATTTAAAAGCTGTGATTAGTGAGGAGTAATCAGGGTACCCAAGATGTAAATGCTGAATGATCATTCCCCACCATAACTCAACAGCAAGTTATATGGCATAAATATCCTTGATCTTTATAATAAGAGTAACTTTTAAATAGCTTAGAAATAAAAATGACAATGGCCTCATCAGTAAAAAATACATTTTTCACAGCAGCCTTTTCCTTGCCCACGACACAGTACTGTTAGCAACTTTTAAGACTAAACTAAAGGTAACTATTTAAAAAAAAAACTTATGGCGATGCAAGTTCTGACAATAATATTTCTTAGTTTAATTTCCAGTTTTAATTTCATCCTGTGGTAGTGCACATCACACTGCTGTTTACTTTTTTGTAGGTAGCTGAAAATTGTGTGTTATGACTCACTTGAAGCATAATCAGTGAAGTATTGTGGATCCCTGTCAAGTCAGATGATGGTAACAAAAGTAGAGCATACAGGTCACCAGCAAATAAGGAAAGACAAGGGGCCTTTTATTGTGTTCTGAATGCTTGCTTGGAATAGTTGCTGATGTTCAAAGCATTGTGTGGTTCATCACACAGAAATAGACAAAACTGCCTTTTTAGTAGTTTCTTGTGTGATTCTAAAACTTCATAAAATTCGTCTTTCTAAAAGAACTTGTCTGTATTTAAGACTTCTGAGAAACTACTTGCTTGAAGAACTCTTGAGGTAAAGAAACTTATGTGAAATTTAATTTGCATTTCTGGTGTGGTAAATATTTTAACTTGTATTTGCATAGTTACTGCTGTCAAACTCTGTTAAATTGTCAACTTCTTGATCAAGAGTGTGTTACTAAGCCTAGGTTCTTTTGCTTGTTAGTTGTGTATTGTGTGTTGGCCATTAGTAGTAATGTTCTTTCTGCTACAAGTAACAGAGAATCGGTAACAAGTGCCTGACAGGTTTAATTAAATAAATTATAATAGTAACTTAAAGCATATTTCAGTTGGTACTGCTTTTGTGTTTAGAAGAAATCTGTTGTTCCAGGAAACGCTTTTGGAAGCATGCTTTCTGAAGGTTGGCAAAAATTGCAGTGCAATGCAGCCTTTATTAAGCTTGCTTCATTTTAAACCAACAGTATGTCTGGGACAGCATAGTCCTCCTTCATACCTGTTTGCATATTCACAGAACTGTTATCTGCTATAGCTGGTAATGATCTCAATTCCCACAGGGCCTTGTCTCATTTTTCCTTGAAATGGTCTCTAGTGGTCAGGAAGGCTTGAGACTGTTTGACATGGAGCTGTGTTTGTTGTGGTTTTTTTTTGACTGTGGTTCCACTCTGAATACTTAGGCCCTCCAGGGCAAAGATGAAGCAGAAAACTGGGAGAGGGAAAAAGGTGAAAAGCGTTTCATTTTGCCTGTTACCATACTGCAAATAATGATTTTAAATTTGCTAACTCAAATCAGTCTATTGAAGTTAAACCTTTTATGGAGTACAGTTGCTGAATAAATGTTAAATAGCTGAGCTTATTTGAAGTAGGAACTACTGATCTTATTTTTAGATGAGTGTCTAATTCACAAATTTAGGGCTATCATTTGGTCATTAGTTAGGTCTGCTTCCCATTATTATCTCTATCCAGTAGACGACAATAAGGACTGTGTAGTGTTGGAAATGCAGGCGTTCAAGACATCAAGTATGAAATATCTACTTAGGCTGTCTAAATCTTTCTAATCCTGAGCAGTCTTTGAACCTGACCTATAAGTTTTATCATGTCTGACAGCTACTGCTCTAGAAGATGCTAATTTGCTGCAATTTTGGTGAAGTTAGCTGGCTTGGTAAAGAAGAAGACAACTGGGGAAGATGTAGTGGCAGTATCACAGCTTCTGCCTTGATTTGCCAACTTCCAGGGCTGTCAGCTTTTGCAGCTCTTGCTTGTTAGAGAATGCCTCATCTGAAGGTCATGAGGGACCATGCTGAAAACCTGACACTGTTGCAGCAATAGAGGGCAATGTTTGTAGGAAGCATGTGGAGAGGAATGATGAGGACTGTTTCAGAAAGGGTGTGGGAAGAAGGGGTATGCATCATAAAAGCAAAGTTTTCTTGACTCAGCTTCTCTGAAAGAAACCTGTTCTAAAATAGTAGTCTTGTTTTAGAGGGTAGCTGATATTTGCTGTATCATTTGGGTGCATACTCGGGTAATTTGCAGAGTAGTCTTAAGTGCTTAAAGAAAACATTTGAAATGCAACAATTCCCGTGTCTTAGTTTTGAGAAGTCACCTTTCCTCTTGTTTTGCTCAAGAATTGAAGCTGAGCAGACTGAGAATTTTGCAACTGGCTCAGCTTTTGCTTACTTACAACTACGTTTAGAAAATTAAAGCAGAGCAAAAGTACTTTCCCTTTCTGTCAGCCTTAGTAAATTAAATGCAGTTTCTATGGTATAGTGTACATCATGGTAAGAAAGGCTGCTTTAAAAACAATGTTCCTATACTCAAATAGGAATAAGTATAAATACTGATCCTTTGGGAGCTACTATATGGGGCTTAGGGCATATGGAATCTGTTGAAATAGTTTAAATCCTGGAGTACAGGTAAGGGAATGTATAGCATTAGGTGAAGGAGAAGAGTCTTAAATATCACAAGCAGAAATCGAGTGCTTTGCCCCTTCATGAATGCCTGATACAAATATTTTGTAAAAGCAGTATTTGGGGGTGAAATTTTATGCTAGGAGTTGCTTGCCCGGCTGTGACAGATGGTCTTTCAACTTCAAGTATTTAGACCAGTACATGGTGCACCACTTGGTTGTTAAAGCAGCTCAGTCTGGAACAAAAAATATGCAGCCGTGCACTTTTTAATGATGTATTAACAATGGTAAACCTAAATAGGCTTTAATTTATTTTTGTTTGATTAATCTGTGGTTGTGTTGTTTGTTTTTATAAGGTGTGCAAACAGATTTGGCTAGGCCTATTTGATGATAGATCATCAGCAATTCCAGACTTCAGGGATCCACAGAAAGTAAAGGAATTTCTACAGGAAAAATATGAAAAGAAAAGATGGTAAGATAGATTTACAATTATAAATGTTGCCTGTATAGCAAGAAGTGAAGGTGGACAGTTATCCTTGTATTTTTGAGTGTGCTTTCCTTCTTGTGTGCTCTTTGCATAGCTGTCTAAAGTAAAATGATTTCTGGACTTTATTCAGAGCTTCTACAGTAAGCAGAAAAAAGTACAGCAGTTTCTTGGTGTGTAGCATGTATTGACGGTACAGAAATGGCTTAAGGGGATGTGAACAACAGGGTAAAGTAAAGAATTTTGCAGGCTTTTATTAGGGGTGGAAGACACCTGGCTTGTATTAAATAAGTGCTACAAAATATTGATGACTTGGAATTCTAGTCCATTTTAAAAAGATCTGGCATAATTAAATAATGGGTATTTTGTAGGCTACTGCTAATACTTGTTTTGGAGTCAGTGGTTAATATAGCAGAGCTTAGATATACCAGTTCCCTTGCTTTAGTCTTATCAGTATTAAGCAGAACTTTTCATGTTAAACTTGTAAAAAACACTGCTCTTTTTGAACGTAGGTATGTTCCTCCAGAGCAAGCAAAGGTGGTGGCATCAGTGCATGCATCCATATCGGGGTCTTCTGCTAGTAGTACAAGCAGCACACCTGAGGTGAAGCCACTCAAATCTCTCTTGGGAGAAGCTGCACCTGCACTGCACTTAAACAAGGGCACACCTAGCCAAGTGAGTAATAACAGCTGAAAAGCACAGAACTGTTAAGCAGTCCTTTTTCTCTTTTAGTGGCAGAATTCTCACAATTGTAACTGTTACCTAATGATATGATGACTAAAGACAGCTTTATGCGTTCTGTTGAACTGTTTGCAGATCAGGTTCTAAATTAAGCTTGTTTCTATTGGCCAAATTGATTTATTTTTTTAAGAATGGCTATTTGCAGAAAGCATAATTTTGTAGTGTGATTGACAAGTTTAATTATGGTAGACTTTTACTTAAATATCTCTGAAGTTTGAAGCTAATGTGATATATTTTCATATTTGTTTTTTTTAATTTGAAAACAGTAGAATGCCTGATACTCTTAACCATGAGATTAGTAGTGAATATGTGGGTGAAAAGTGTGATGTTTGTCATTATTTCCTGTGCATTTTGTAACTGTGTTGAGTGGCTTTGGAGGAGTGTCTGTATGTTGTTATGTAAAGCCAAGCAACATAGTGTTTGGCTTTACATATGTTTTGGAGGGAAAACAGTTTTGCTTGAAAATCTCTTTTACCATTAGGGTAACAGACAATTCTTGAATGGACCTCTTTAGAAATCAGCAGCTTGCAGCCTTGCTATGAAGTCCTTCATTTTTCTCTCCCTTCACTGAATTCTAAAGATTTTTTTCAGAATGCAGTGAATAACTATATTGCCTTGTAAAATTAAGTTTTATTGCTTGTATTTGTGCAGTATTTGCAGTTTCAAATACATAATTTTGAAGCTGCTTGTATGCTGCTACTTTATTCTTCTAGGCCCTATTAATCCATCGGAATCTGCTGCAAAGTTCCTTTAAAAGCTACCGTAGAAGCATAAATAGATTGTCTCCCTTATATTGTGGGAGGAGGATCTGTGCGGTACACAGCATCTTAAACTTCAGGAATAAATGGCTTGTTAAAGGAATATGCTTACTCCGTCCTTCTAGTATTTTGCAAAAATCAGTATGGTAAAATACCAGCTTTTTTGTATTAGCTAATCAAAAACTTGTTTGTAGTCTCCTGTTGTAGCTCGATCTCAAGGACAGCAGCAACAAGAAAAGAAACAATTTGACCTCCTCAGTGACCTTGGCTCGGATATCTTTGCTGCTGCTGCTCCCCAGTCAACTGCTACAGCAAATTTTGCTAATTTTGCACACTTCAACAGTCATACAGGTAAGAATTCTGAGCAGTGCATCCCTTTTAAATGTATAAAATGTAGTTTTAATTTGATTAGTTCAGTCTAAAATTCCTGAGGTGTATAATTTCTGTGCTTTGCGAATGTTGTATTGCACAAGATTTTCCTTTAGATCTTTATAGACAGGTTGAAGATTTAAAGGCTGATAATCCTGTTTTGTTAAGTGGGAGTTGCTGAAGCTGTTTTCTGTATGTACAATTGTGCTGTTTCTGCCTACTACTAGAACTTAAGATTCTTTGTGGGAGAGAGAGTGAGAGATGAGTAACAGAACGTAGGGAGAAGCTGGTATTAGATCTCCAATTTTGTTTCTGAAAATTATTAGTAAAAGTATTCATGGAAAGACTGCTGATACAGAGGCTTTAAAGGGAGTTCACATTGACAATTTCTTAAAAGCAAAACAAAGGCTTTCCTCAGTTTGAAGGATAACCTCCTCTTTTGTTTGTGTCTATTTGAAAACCAAATACTACCCATCTGGGTAGCATTCTGCAGTTTCAAGAAGAATAAACAAGTTTTGAGCACATGTATTGACTGAGAATGGGAGTAGTCCTTGTATTCTTAAAGAATGACTTCAGTAAAATATATTGAGCCCTCAGGCTTTATTTTTAGCCAAAGATCTTGAGCCATAGAAGTCTGTCCTAAAGAAAAAGTTGATTCTGCGGTCACTGAAGTATGTTGTTGCTAACTTGCATTGTAATTGTGGGAAAGTAACTTTGCCTGCATTGCCTGAATGAGCTTTTCTTCTGAGAGAAACTGATGCTGCTGAGCCAACAAGACTGGGAGATATTTCTTGTAAATCAATCCTGAAATTATTAACAGTTGAGATGAGTTGTGATGGAGGGGTCTTAAGGCACACCTGAAGAACTGAGCAAAGTATCAAGGATTTCTCAAAGTTACCTTTTAAAAAAGTGGAATAATTGGCTGAATTCAGTATACAGGATAAGAATTGCAACTGCAGTGTATTTTGTAAAATCCTTAAAATTAGTATTTCATGTTAATCATCTTTTTGGAGGTATGTTTAACTGGGACAACTTTCAGTGACTGGCCAGTGTTACTAAAGAGGCTGCAGATACTTAGTTTTTTCTAATGACTTTTTCTTTCCAAACTAATTGCTCAATGATTTTTATATTTATATACACTTAATTACTTTTTGTGGGTTTCAGGAGATGAAAATTCCATTAAAACAGTATTTCAATACTTTGTTCCAAATCTACCTGGGTAATTTTTAAAGAGATAAAAAGCAATATAAATGCTCCTGTATAATCTTATGACAGATGATGTTAATTTCAATTTGAAATAAGTGATGAACAATCAAAATTGAGAGGAATACTCAACTTTACTGACTAGTTTTCTGTTTCAGTAATTAACCATTTTGCTCATTCCCATGACTCTCTTCCATAAGTTTTAGAACCCAAACCAGTTTTAGGGCTGGTAAATCAATTTCTGAAAGACAGTAATCTAATTCTGAGCATGCGTTAATGGAATGTGTACTGCAGTTTATCCTAGGGTGTTTTCTGATTTGCTGGGGTAAAACATTTGTGAGGGTTATTCTGTGTGTGCTACCACACGGTAATGTCAACTGAAACTAATAATGAAATGTTACAGACTCCTCTTTGGAACAGAAGGAGGGTTGATCAGTCTGCCAGCTTTGGCAAAAATGGGTTTTAAAGGCTCATTTAAGGAGCTTATAAGCATGTAATTTTTGTTAGTAATCACATGCTACATCAGAGGATGAAAGAACTTGCACTTAGCCTGGCACGGCTTTCTTGTTTTATGGCTCCGTGTTCTTGTTTTAGGGCTTGTTGACAGGGAATGGACTTCTGTCTTTCCCTTCATGTACACTATGGAGTAACTAAAAAAATCATTGAAGAGCACCAGCAAATTTAAGGTCTTCCTGTAAAAGTTACTGTTTCTGCAATTAAGACATATGTTCCTTTTTTTTTTTTTCTGCCTGTTTCCCTGCCCCACCCCAGACTTTTGTAATGTACTGAGCTGTCTCAGGACACTGTTCCATGTTGAAATGAAAACCTGCTGACCTTCTCTTTACTGTCTGTATTTAATTAATGAGGTTTCATAACTACTGCAAAATTATGAGATTTTGAAGATGATGGTAGATAATTGTTCTCTATGATAAAAATTATTATAAAAATGTGATAAAAACAAGATAAAAATTTTTGGCATGTAAACTTTCTATAAGCTAATGGAATATTTGCACGAAAGATTTAAGAGGCATAGTGACACAACATAACTCTATCATTGGTATAAAGGAAGGGGCTTTACCCAGAAGAAAGAACAGGAGTATGACATAGTTTCAGTTCTGTAATTTAATATATATGGACTTTATTTAGGTTGGTTTTGCAATGTTTCATGCCTTTCTTCCATCCTAGTGCAAACCTTGCAGAGGAAACTATGCAAAGATTGTAGAGGCAGCGTGCATTGCAATTACTGGTGCAGTCATACTTGAGCTAGCTTTAACCAGCTAGCTCTTGTACAGCCTCAGTGATCTGCAGTCACAACAGCAGTTGTAAATGTATGCCACTCTGCAATCTGCTGCAGTTCCTTAACTTGCTTGTGGTGGTTCTTGTGTTTCTGCATGGAGAACTGAATTTTGAAATTGCCAATCTACATGTTGTTCAGGTACAGGAAAGTACAGATCTTACCTGGTCTTTACCTTTATGCCACTTTTACATAGGTTTAAACTTTACAGCATAACGTAAAGCAAGATTAATATCTTTACAGCTCTACTGTTTCAACTCTACTTTGTGTCAGCTAATGCAATAAAATTCTTAAAAGTAGCCTGTAATGTAATACATTCCAGTTCTTAAACTAGACCCAAAAGATACTTAAGATTCTTGACGTAGTATTCTGTTCATGTGAGTGGTTAAAAAGAAAAAAAAATTGTAAATTCTAGGGGCAACATATATTTGCTTAATCTTTATTTGGTTAATCAGTCTCAGTAGCCCTTATCCAATTGATGTATCAGGATGAAAACATCACCTTGATTTTAAAACAAGGCGCAGTAATCTATTCCTTTAAAAAAGCTACTGGTTGAAAGTTAAAAAAAGTAACTGTGGAATTTGGAGTCTAAGTGTTTGAAATACAGGCAGTATAATTGAAACTTTTTTTCCTCTGTGTCAAGTTTTTCTCTGAGCACACTTTAAAGGTGAATATTTTTGGACAGAACTTGCAGAAGATCCCTTTCCCTTTCCCTTTCCCTTTCCCTTTCCCTTTCCCTTTCCCTTTCCCTTTCCCTTTCCCTTTCCCTTTCCCTTCCCTTCCCATTAATAATAGAGTAGGATAGTGAAAAATACAACTGAAAAAGGTGGTTTATGCTGCCTTTTCAGGCTCAATTTCACTTCTGACTCTGCTGCCTTCTCCTGCTGAGGGACGTGAGGAATGAGGGTTGCAGTCAGTCTATAACATCTCATCTGTACCATTTTTATCTCCTCATGCTGTTTCCCTGCTCCATTGTGGGGTCCCTTCCCCCCCCACTGGGAAATAGTCACACACTTCTTCAATGTGGACCCTTCCTGTGGGCTACTGTTCTACAGAACTGCTCCAGCATGGTTCGTTTCCATTGGGTACAGTCCTTCAGGCATGGACTGCTCCAGGGTGGGCTCCCCACAGGATCACAGCTCCTGCCAGAAATCCTGCTGCTGTGTGGGATCCACTGCATTAGCCACAGCTTCTGCCAAGAGCCTGCTCCAGCATAAGCTTTCCACAGGCTCCAACTTCTTACAGGCCATCTCTGCCTTCTCTAGTGTGGGGTCCTCCCTGTGCTGCAGGTGGATATCTACTCCATATCCATGAACCCCCATGGACTGCAGCGGACAGCCTGCCTCACCATGGGCTCCAGGGGAATCTCTGCTCTGGGGCCTGGAGTACCTCCTCCCCTCCTTCACTGACCTTTGTGTCTGCAGTTTTGTTTCTCTCACATTTTTCTCACTCCTCTCTCACTGCTGCCGCACAGTGGTTTTTATACTTTCCTAAATATGCTGTCACAGAGGTGCCATCAGTATTGCTGATGGGCTCAGCCTTGGGCAGCAACAGGCTTGTTTTGGAGCCAGCTGAAACTGTCAGAAGTGGGGGAAGCTTCTGATCAGTTCTCACAGGGGCCATCCCTGCAACTCCCTGCTACCAAAACTATGCCATGTAAACCCAATGTGCGTGCACACTTCTAGTAAAAAGTGGTATCAAGTAGAGTCGGCCATCACCCTTGCTCCCTGTATCCACTGTGAAGGGAAATAGTTGCATTTTCATTTATATTTGCAGCATTGAGAAATAACAGTAATCTGTATAAAAATGTCCTTTTAGCTTATAAATCTGTAGTACAGATTTTTTTTTAATAGAAATTAAGTGAAATAATCTTTTTATTAGCATTATCTGGCTTTTTACTAATAGTACTCAAATGATCAGCATAATTTCTTGGTTCTGTATATGCTTAATGTGCAAGATCTGTCCAGAATAAACAAATCTTGACCCCAAGATAGGACATTTTACTATCTGTTACTCTAGAAGGTGTTTTGTAGGCTTCCTTTATGTAGTAATTGAAGTTACCTATATATAGGGGTTTGGTTTGCCTTTGATTAAAACCAGTTTTTTTTTTCCTTACTCCTTGCTAATAAGAGAATTTCAGACTTTCTGTGGGGCTTATCAGTTAGGCATGCAATTACTATTGAATCTATTGATGTTGAATGTCCAGCTGTTTGAAATTAGGTGGCTGTTAACTTTTATTTTCTTCTATAGTAAGGCATGAAAGGTAGGCAAAACTTGAAATTCTGTATCCACCAAACCTGAAATTTTGTGGATACACTCTCATGAATGCTGTCTTCTTAACAGTGGTATTGATTTTTCCACATTTCTGTACTGTTTTCTAAAAACTGAATTTTTCAGTGAAATGAATTTTATAAACATAGCCAAGACTATTCAAGTGGTGCCAAACTAAATTCACCCAAGGAAGAAGCACTTTGTGTAAGAGGAATTCAAATTGTCAGTATGTTGTAAGAATTTGTTCTAATTTTTATACACAAATAAATGTTCAGTGAGTCCACAAATTCTAGTTTTATAAACTAGAACGATACCTTTTGGGGGTTTTACAGGTGTACATCTGGTATTTTGTACTTCTAGGCTATTTTTCCCTGACCAGCCACCGCTGCAAACACTAGGGTTAAGCTGAAATGGACTCTTGGATCATGCAGTTGTGAATAGTAGCATGTGTGAGAAGTAGCATTAACTGGTACAGCTGTGTGAAGGTGATTTGTGAAAACTTGTTCGAAGACCACATTCAGTTGTTGAATACCATGTATAATTTTTTTTCATGTAAAAAAAAAAAATTGCAAGGTAGGACGTAACCCTTGGAGGCTGTCATGACCATGAATTCAGTTGATACATCTGTTCTTGTGTTTATTTCCCATATCCATTAACATGTTTTGTTCCTTTGCAATTTACAGCGCAGAACTCTGCAAATGCAGGTTTTGCAAACTTTGATGCATTTGGACAGTCTAATGGCTCGAGTAATTTTGGAGGTTTCCCCACAGCAAGGCAGTCTTTTCAGCCCCAAAATACAGGTAGAACTCCTAGCACTTTTGATTAATACTTAATTGAAATAATCCTTACCTTTATGTTGGAAGGTACTTAAGTTTTCTTGCATCTGCCTGCTTTAATATAATCAAGCAGTCTGAAGCTCTGGGGAAACTCAAAATGAATTCCTTCTATTTGGTGTTGATTTTTATTTCCCCCACCCACCCACCTACCCAATGCTGCTCAGAAGTCTGATTTATGGCACTATGTGTTTGTTAGCTCTACATCTGAAATAACTACGGAAAGACTAAACCACACTGCTTCTGATAAATATTAAATTGACCATCTTGTAAGAGAAGTGTTTCAGTGGACCCAAAAGCACATCACAGTACCAAAAAAAGTGTGTACCTATGTGTATGTATAACATATGCGCACACTTCAGTATGTCTGGCTTCATGTGTAGAGCCTAATGCTAAGATTCATTTTGCTTTCCTTTAATTTGATCATGCTTTAGAACTTCTGCTTGAGCTTACGTTTGCTGTTTGTCTAGATCTTTGGCTGACTGACTTTCTTTTCCTTTTTTTTTTCTGTTCCTTCTTTTGAGTGTGGTGTTGTTTTAAACTTTTTTTAAAATTTTCTTTCTCCCTCCTTATGTTAACTTTAACCCACACACAATTTCTGGCTCTCCAGCGTTCAGAACGCTTTCATCTAGCTGCAGTTTTGGTGAATTTACTTCAGCTTTTCCTCTCCAGGCTGTACACAGTAAGTTCCACGCAGTGGAAAACTCAGCTTGCTTCATTTTGTGCCATTGTAGTATAGCATTTTCATTCTTACTGTTGCATATGTTTTAACTTGTTGATTATGCTATTAAAGTTGTGTGTTCTGCAGTATGAGTGGAATCCTCAGCCAACTGTTATAAAATGTGATACACATAATGGAACACCTTACTGAAACTTATGTGACCTGTCCAGATCAAATTGTCTGAAGAGATGGAAGTTCATAGTTTAAAGTTTGAACTGAAGTTCAGCTGTGTGGACCTAAATCAGATTTTTAAAATTAATTTATGCATCTGATGTTAGTGGGGACTTGGTATAAAAAGATCTGTGTTGTGTCTTCCCCCTCATCTCTTCCCAAACTCTCTAATCCTTGGCATGAAATCATACTACTTCTGGACTTCTAGGCACTGTTTTTTTTGCTTAGAATGATGACTGACATCTGAAATGGTTAAACATTGTACTAGGAAGTAAATGCAAATAGTAGGTATTCATTAAATGTATGTCAGGAAAATGAAGCTTCTGCATTTTGAATATTAAGCATTCAAGCAAATGCACTTTTTTTTCCTTTAACGAAATACTATTGTTGAAATTACTTTTAACAGCTAACAGCATATAGTTTTTCCAGATCAAATTATGACTGATTTAAGCTGTCTGGGCCTTTTTTGTCCCTGATCTGCAGACTGAAAAACAGAAAAAAAATTTCTGATGATCCGATGTAACTTTGAAGGAAATGGGCAGGGGTTATACAGGTGGGGTGGGGTGGGGAAATGCTGCCTCATGCAACCAGAAAGAGGTGGGATTATTGTGCCTTCAGTTACAGTTCGAAAAACTTTCTCTAGCTTTGGAGTGTTGATCATGTTTAATTTCATTTGTTGCAGGTGGAAGTGCTGGATCAGTGAATGCTAACTTTGCTCACTTTGATAACTTCCCCAAATCCCCCAGTGCTGATTTTGGAGCCTTCAATGATTCTCAGAGCAACACAACAGCAACTGCAGCCAGTAAAGCTGCAGTGAATAAACTCAGTCTACAGTCAGCTGACAAATATGCAGCTCTTGCTAATTTAGATAATATCTTCAGCGCAGGGCAAGGTATTGAATTCTGTTATTTGATGTGCTTATTCTACAGCTGTATGTGTACCACAGGGACAGCTGTGTTTGTTCAAGTAGTAACTGTATTTCAAAATGTCTTGTCTTTAAATTATCGGTAGAATTTCATATCAGTGAACCCTTTATGCATAAGATGGAAGTTTTAAGACTAAAGTTTCCTCCAAAAGTCTGCATCAGAAGTCTGCTCTTTGGGAACCCAAGTGGAAATATCTAAATAATTATTACTGCAATGATGAAAATATATAAATGTATAAATATATTTTTTATATTCGTGCTATATTTCATATAGCAAAGGCTCTTGAATGGAGAGCTACAGTTGTAGAGAACTGCCCAAGTAGCTTTCTTACCTCTCTGCCATAAAGACTTTGCTTAAAGTTTTTTATCAAATAGCAGTGATACTTGGATTTAGTTGATTTTAAGGAGGAAAAAAATCCTAGTTATTCTGTAACCTTTTTCTTCTCAAATGGTGTGTAAACAAATGTGTTGGTTTGCAGTGTAGAGCTTTTTTCTGAAATGGATTATTTGAGGGTATGTGTTTTATGAAATTTTCCAGTTGAAGATGATGGTAGCATTGAGTTAATATTTTTCAGGGAAACCAGAAGCTCTTTGAAGCTACAGAATATCTATAAAAGCATGACATTTTGCAAATAGCTAATGGCTGGTTATATACAGTTTTTTCTCCTGTATGGAGCATATTTAATTTTTGAGTCTGAAACGTAAACTCTCCATAAACTTTCATTCTGTTCTCAACATTGGGAGCACAAAATATGAAACTTAATTCATTACTTCTAATCCGGTTTCTTTCTTTCTAGGTGGTAGTGAGCAAGGAAGTGGCTTCAGTACAGTAGTGTCAGCATCAGCAGGTCCTGCGTTGTCAGCCCCAAATCAGTCAAGTGCATCTTCAGACAAGTATGCTGCTTTAGCAGAATTAGACAGCGTGTTCAGCTCTACAGCAACCTCTAGTAACGCGTATACTTCCACCAGTAAAGTTAGCAGGTACTTTGTTAGAAGTAGCTGACTTTCTTTGTGAATTCCAGCAGTATGCACAAAAATAACTCAAAGTTGTCTCTTGAATCTATTATTTCTTACCTAAATAGGGAAATACTGAATGAGTTTAGAGGTACTTCTGAAACTGTCCTGTGTTTTAAATAACAGCAGTACTGTTTGATGAGATATTATCAAAATAAGAATACTTTCTGTCAGCTTAATGTTCTCTGCGCTTTTCTAGTCATTGCATGGTAAACCTGTTGGATGGTAACGCTTTCCTGTACAGATTGCATGCATACTGAAAATCATAGCATCATCCCTGGCAAAAGAATTATTCAGCTATTTATAATGTAAATGGTGCCACCACTTTTTTTAATATCATAAAAGTAATAAATACCAAGTGCCTGTTAAAGCTCCATTTGGTATTGCAGGTGCCCCATAGCCTCTGCTTTGCAACTTTTCTGTTACTGGCCTCTGTTTAATACTTTGTCCTGCTGTTGGTGAAGATGACTTTTCATTGCTTAGCACTAGTTACAGTCTCTGACCCTGGTAGCAGGGGCTCAGCTCTGTGCATCAGTGAATTATGTAGCAGTTTGCAAACTGCACTTAAGCGTTCCTTTTTTTTTTTTTTTAATATGCCAACAGTAATTGTAAATAGTATTTAAGTGTTAAACAAGCAATTCTGACATCAGTGACGTATGAATTATTTTCAGCAATGCTTTTGGAACAGTACCCGTGGCTGCTACTGCACAGACACAGCCTGCATCTTCGAGTGTGCCTGCTCCATTTGGAGGTATAGAAGTGTTACTAAAATCTTTTATGGACTGTTAGCAAACAAAGCATCTTATTAATTTTTTGTTGATAGTGTTATACTTCGACACAAGTGATATTGCAGTTACTAAAAGATGCAAAAAAAGTACAGTTGTTATGATGCTTTTTATATTAAGCATTTTATTATCATTTCCTATTTTTCATATAATTTTAGATATGTATCTTTATAAAAGCTGTATAAACTTAATATATTGAGTCAGATTGGCTATTTTTAAAAGATGTTATTAAATAAGTTGTCTTTAATCTTTCAGCAACACCTTCCACAAATCCATTTGTAGCTGCCCCTGTTGCCCCAGTGGTACCTTCAACAAATCCATTCCAGACCAATAGCCGAGGAGCAACAGGTTAGGAAAAAAGACACTTAACTGTTTGAGAAACTTTCTTTCAAGACTTGCATTGATTTTTTTTTTTTTTTTCTCTTTTTTCATAGCTGGGTAACTTGTTTCTGAACGTTTTTCTGTATTATCTATCTCTAGTCTATTTGCTGTGGGGTGTGTGTGTGTTCAATGTAGAGTACAATATTTATGAACAGGCTGCAGAAATCAACTTTTTCTTGATAAAAACAATTTTTTTTTAATTGAGCAGAGGATGTTATTTTTCTGTTTCAAAAGGTGGCCATGTTTTTTAAGATCTACCTAGCCTGTTTGCATCTGTGTATTACTACTTGGGTGCCTTCTTAGACTATACCTTTGGTTTTGAGGCATGCTTCATAGCAGGTTGCCCTTACATCGTGAATCTTGAAAGCCTTGCTGCTAAGCTGTACACTTGCGTTTTTTCTTTAGTTCAAAGTCCTTAAAGCTCTCAAAATCAGAGAGCTTGAGCTAAAACCAGGAGAATCATGACTTTTGGGGTGTTAGCTCTTCACCAGTCTGCTTATTCAGTACATTAGTATCCTTTATTTTTCTGTCTTGTAACAGTAAAACATATGTTTAAATATAATCTTTACACTCATGAATTACATTAATTTTCTGGGGAGGATTCTGTAGAATCCTAATTTCATAAACAAAACCTGAAATGCTTTATAAAAAAAAACAAACTTGTGCTTTTCTTTAAAAAGCTGAACTTGGATTTAGATGACTGCTAGGTTATCCTAATTTTCCTTTTCAAAGGCACTGCTAAGTTTTGGCACTTTTATCTATTAACTGGACTTTCACAGTTTTAAATCTGCTGATGTATGAGTTTTAACACTGAGTTATGCTTTGCTCAGAGCTTTACACAGGTTGAACTAAACTGATCAGGCTGAGTTAAAACTGAATTGCTCAAATTCCTGTTCTCTGCTGAAATAGAATTCTGTTTCAGTGCCTTTTGCGTTATTATGCAGTTAAACTTGTTGAGCTGTTTAATGTCCAGAATATCTTTCTGATTTGGATCATGGTTAAGAATTTGTAGCCTCTTTAGATGAATTTGTTTGAATATGGTAACTCTGACCTTCCACCTTCTAAACTGCTATCCCTGGCTTGCAGAGGTTCTAACCCTGTGGCAGCTATACCAGTGTTAGGTACTGGGTGACAGAGATAGTGGCTATATGTAAAGATAATTTTCTATCCTTTCAGTGTTAGGTGTAAACTTGTAGCTTGTATTTTTATGCTAAGCTTTCTTTCTGCATGAACTTTGCTATTTATTACATGGGAGATCTGCTTTGTAGCATTTGTTTCTAATGGTTTTCCAGCTTAATCTATTGCTAGTCGTGCTATAGATGAATTTTTTGGTACATATATGTGTGTATATTTCTATATATAACTAAGAAATGACTGTTCAAGAGTGTGTAAATGATTTGACATTGTCTGGTCTCTTTGTGGCTTCCATAAGGCCTCTCGGGAGCAATGCACTCTCACATATTTCCTCAGGCTCATTTTGGTAGGTGGCCACATTTGGTATTGAGTTTCTTGTGGCTAATTGTTCTTGCTTGTAAAAGCTTATTGGTAGCTATCTGGTTCTCTGCACGTGGAATTTTGGAAGACCTTCCGTTTTGTTAAAAATGGAATGGGTGTGATCATTTGGCAACTGGGTAAGGGGAGAGAAGAGCATACATGAACATCCTATTAAGCAACTAAAACAAAACCATTATTGATATCCTCCATGGTCACAATATAATGCTAACAAGTTGAGTGATTCAGGTTTCTACCAACAGCAGCTTGATGCCTTTTGGGATATCCCAAGTCACTGCTCATTTTGTTGTGCTTTCATTTGCCTTTTTTAGTAAGTTTTCCTGCTGAATAGCTTCTCTGCTGACTGTAACTTGAGCAATGTTAGTACATTAGTTTTGCATGTACTTTGTCAACAGCTTATGTATAATGTCTTGACCTTGAATACTTTTAGGGTAAATTTTTCAACAGATAGTTAAACTGTATTAGTTTAATACATGTTTGGGTTTTTTTGGTTGTCTTTTTTTTTTATTAAACAGTTGAGCTTGCATAAAATCTAACTTGCACCATCAAAAAAACCCAAGTCCTATCCAGTGTTTAACTAGAATAAAATGCTTGATGTCTGTATTTGCACCAAAAAAAACTCCCGTCTTTACACTTCTCCTTTCAAGAATAACTCCCAAAAGACTGAATAATGGTTTTGTTACTACATTTTCGCACTTGATGTACTCCTCTTTATTTGCTCAAGGCATGTGCAATTGCGTATGAGCTGAATGTTCTTTACTTGAAATGTTTAGCAGAGAATCAGATGAGAAGTTTGGGGTGGTGGGTTTTTTTTCTTGTTTGAAGTCTTACCTCCACAGTAAGAGCATTTGCAAATAGAACTTTTGTGTTCAAATAATCTGCATGGTGAGAATTTCCTATGAAATGAGGATGGGATGAGGAGAGAGGGGATGCATGTATCCCTTAGGACTTTTTTGTTATTTTTCATTTGTAACTTCCTGTAATGCAACTTGAGTAGGAAGATCCTTTCATGCTTTTCTCAGAAGCAGAAAACCAGAGAGGCTTATGCTGCCTGAAAGTGCTTGCTTCTGATACATGCATTTACCAGAAAAGCTGTGGGGGAAGTGTATGATAATGCAGACAGCATCAAAAGTAATTCCTTGTCAGAAGGTATATCTGGGTGTGCTGAATCTAGCAAATCTTAAATGATTCCATTTTTAAAGTGCAGGAGTAAATTATGCACTTAGTTGGTGATGATCCAAGCTAACAAATCAGTTCAGTGGCTGTAGAAGTTGAACCTAACTTACTGTATGGTCACTGAGGCATTAGGAAGCTTTTCCTAACGTGACGTTATAGTAATTTGTCTCATGGAAAAAAAGTGATTTCTTACAAATAATTGACTGTTATTTTTTGCCTACCAGCAGCAACATTTGGTACTGCATCCGTGAGCATGCCTGCAGGATTTGGAACTCCTGCCTCCTACAGTCTTCTTCCTACTAGTCTTAGTGGCAACTTCCAGCAGCCCACGTTCCCAACCCAGGCAGCTTTCTCTCAACAGACTGCTTTTGCTCAGCAGCCAAATGGTAGGTCGATACATTTTAGATAATGTTGTTTAAATTGGAAGCACAGAGAAAATTATTTTTCTGTAAGTTAGCAAAAATGGCTGCATATTTATTTCTTTGTGAACTTGATAACTTTGAGGGGTTCCCACACTGTGTTTTGGCTCCATGTTGTGCTTTCTGACTTGTCTGTGTGCAATGATGTAACTGAAATTTTACCCTAATCTGATACTAAAATAAAAAGTATTCCTTGGCTTAGAAGGAATTTTAAGCAGGCTGGATTGGATTGCTTTGCCTTCATTTTTGGAGTTTCTGCAACTGATTGTAACATTTTCTCTAACTTCACAGAACACAGGCAAGAGAAGATTAGGAAGTACTTGTTTATTTAAATGATAAAATTACATTGAAAAAAGTGCATGTGTAGAAATCGAAATTGATTAGTTCCAAACAAACAAAAAGTTTGAAAAGAAACAAAGCCCAGCTATATTTTTTACACTTCAGATTCCTGATAGTGTTTCAGTAGGATCAATCGTGCCAAGCTTCCACTTATTTTTGTGTAGGAGCTGCCTCAAAGAACTCTTTGTACTCTACTAGTATTAATATTTTTCACTTGTCTTTCCAAGGAGCAAGTTTTGCTGCATTTGGACAGGCAAAGCCTCTAGTAACTTCTTTTGGACAAGTTGCAGCTGTTGGAGTACCTAGTAACCCTTTTATGGTGAGTTGTTGCATGATATTAAGTTCTGTCTGAAGAGACATAATGTGTAACAGTTCAATTAGAGACACACAAAGATTTTGGGTTTGTGGCTTGGTTTTTTTCTGGGTTTTGTTTGGTTGGTTTTGGATTATTTTTTTCTTTTGTTTGTTTTTGTTTTTCTTCAAGTAAGGGAAGGTAGCGCATGAATCTCCTACATGCAATTCAGTATGACAATGACATGGCATTTGTAAGGCTAGTCAGATCAAAACAGAAGTATTTGTATACCTTCCTCTTACAGGAGTATAATTTGAGAATTACCGGGGGAAAAAGACTGCAACATAAGAAAAATTTATCCTAATAGGGTGTGTTTTTTTTACTGTATCTTGCATTAATGGTTTACAATCCAAAACCAAAAAACTTAAATATTCATCTTAATTTTCTTCTTTTATTCCCCCCTAGGCTGGTGCACCAACAGGACAATTCCCAACAGGAAGCCCATCAACCAATCCTTTCTTATAGCCTTATAGACACTTTACCCAAAAGAACTCTTACATGGTCACATAACATCTCTGCGCCTCTTGCACTGTTGTCTTGTTTCACTGATATTAGCTTTAAACACAAAAGAAGTCTTTAAGAAGTAAAAATAAAAGCCTGCATTGTGTACCTTTAAGAAAATGAAAAATATTAATAAAAAAACCCAAAACAAACACCACCACAAAAGCCACAAAAAAAACCAAGAAAATCAACACACACACCCCCCCCCAGGTAATAATGTGCAAAATGGAGGGCTATGGTAACATCCTTGATCCTATGAGCTGGCAGGTAAAAAGTAGCGGTATCATGTATATTAAAATTGGCTAATAAGTTATTGCAGATACCACATTCATTATGCTGCAGTACTGTACATATTTTTCTTAGAAAATAGCTATTTGTGCATATCAGTATTTGTAACTTTAACACATTGTTATGTGAAAAATGTTACTGGGGAATAGATCAGCCACTTAAGGTGCTGTTGTATCTCTTGGAATGAATGAGCTACATCATTTTAACCATTGGTATTGGAAGTCATGAAGTTAAATTGAAGGTTTGTTCATTTCTCAATGTTTTCCTTTCCTAAGAGCTCTTCTATTTATACATGCCTAAATCTCTAATGTTAGAGGGATACCTGTCTGCATAATAAAGCTGATCATGTTTTGCTACAGTTTGCAGGTGAAAAAAATAAATATTAGAAAAAAAAACCCATGTAGCATTATTTCTGTGCAGTAACATTTTATTGGGTTAAAATGTATTTACTGTGAGACTTTTACACAGAGGAATTATCAAAAGCAAAATGCTTAAAGGTGAGTTAAGCTTAAAATTTTCACATGCCTCACTCTGGATATGTTTCTTTGTGTCCTTGTGATTAAGCTTGCTGTTCTAGCCCAAGTGAAGTGACATATCAAACAGGAAACTCTTAAGTGAACTTGGATTATTTTGACAGAGTAGCTCTGTAATGAAGGACACTGAAAGCAGTAAGGAGGGTAGTTACTGGGGAAGTGGTTAGCTGGAAAAGGCACATACTTACATGTAGCTAATGATAGTCTTTGAACAAGCCGTAGTTGTGATCACAACAGTGTGTATTTGCAGGCCAAGGTACCACAGCTGTAATAGCACTCTTTTGATTAAAAATTGATATAAGTAATGCCTCCTGTGTAATATTAATTGATTATTTTTTTATTTACTGGAATATTTCCTGCCTTACTAGCATGGAATTTGTAGACAAGGAAGAAATGTCTGGCTTGTCTATTCTGTAACACTAATAAGGTTCAAGAAAAATATAACTCTGCATCAGATTAGTTGGTGATGGTGTGTTAAACTAAGGGAGAACTTGGCTTAAAGTCAAGTGTAATACTGGAACTAAACAAGTAATGTAAATATACGATGAATACATCGACTGCAAGCTTAAAGGTTTCAGACCACTGGGGAATAAAATCATAATACCTTTCAAGATAACAGGAATAAATAAGATCAGATATTTTTTTGAGGAAAGGATGTGTAAGTCCATGTGAGGTAAACTCTCAAAGGTAAGACATTTTCACTTGTCATTTTCTGCCTGATTGGTAGGTCTGCTTATTTGTAGGGGAGCTGAAAGACTTGACTGCTGCTTGTAAAAACCCTTCTTATGCCAGTGCTTTTGATTTCTGTTGCCTGTCTGTGGGGAGGTAGTAGTTTCTCTGTGTGTGTGTATCTTTATTTTTTATTTTTATTTAAGCTTTGGAGATCCCAAAGGGGACAGGCAGCTTGTGCAATAATCTGCTTAAAGCAGCATTTGTTACTGAAGTGTATGGGTTTGCTCTGTTGGCATATTTAGAGTTAAAACAGACTTGATGTATGTCTTTTCCTTCTGATGTGGAGTGCTGTATGTATATATGATAGTATATGAGATATATATGAGAGTATGATGTATAGCTTAATTCCCAAGGTTCTCTGTGAAATTCACTAAATAAATCCTCAGCAATTGAGGGTTTCCGGGATGCTAGTGATGCCCTTGCTCTCGCCACTGTTTTTTAGCAAAGTATAAGTAGCTTGTAGTGCTTCCCTGTTGTTTATCTTCCTTGTTTTGGAATACTAATGCGTAAATTCAGTAGAGAACTGAATTATGAAATACAGGGGAACTGCAAGGATTCAGAAGGATGTGTTAAACACTAAACTATGCTTATTGCAGGGAACTGGATAAAATCTACCAAATGTCTCATCAAGATGAAGAGACTTATGGAAGGGAAACAATCCTGTGATCTGCACTTTAATGTAAATGAAGCTTTGGGTAAGGCTTCATTCATCAGCATCTATTGAAATTACTGCTGAGGAATGAAGATGATTACTGCTAAGAGATACTGAAATGCATTTAAGCATGCAAGTCATGTAGTTTTAGATTATGCTGCAGAAATAGTAGAATACCTTATTTTGCGTAACTAGCTTGAATACAGATAAAAGGTTGGCAACTTTCATTATACACAACCATGTCTGTTTAATGTTTGTTCGCTAAGTTTTTCAAGCTCCAGATAAGTAGCTGAAGATCTTGAATTGTTTTGAGTCTCCTTTATGTTGAGCAGAAACTGACACCACAGCTGTTTTGTTGATTACATTTTGAAAATAGCTATATTTACAAAATTAATTCTTTTCCTGTGATTGTGTTTTGTCTTTGAAACCTCTGCAGTTGGTCTCACAATTGCTCATGCAACTAGCATGGTTGCTAAAAAGCTAGACTTTCACTAGCTTTTCAGTATCTTCTGTTTTAGAGTCAAAGCATTTAACTTTAGCCCTTCTACAGAAATTCATTTGTAGACCACCTAGATTAATACTTTCAATCCTATTATGTCAGCTCTTATGTGTATAAGACAATGCTGTAAGAGGTGCATCCTGAGTTCTACAAGGCAGATGTGATGCTCAGGTGCTGCAGGTTGGACTTATTTAATGGCTGCAGACTCCTAAGCACCATGTTGAAACAAATGCTAAGGCAAGAGATAAATTTGCAAAGGACCAAATTTAGTCAGAATTCCTGAAAAAGAATTGTGAATAAGATGCAAGTATTTTGCTCTTTTGAAGGAAAAACTTACTGGGGCATAAAGGCAAGCTCAAGCAGCTTTTAAAATTATGTTTTTACAGGAATTAATGACTTTGGGGAAACATCGGTTTACTTCTGACTCTTGGCAAATCTGTAAGTTGTGGTAAAGACAATGTAATTTGCTGCTGTCTGATACAGTTGACTCCAAAGTGGGCAGTAGGAATCAGTAGGAAAAATAGTACCTAACTAGCTTTAGTTAAATAACACAACTAGAAGTTTAGATATAAGACTGCCTTGGAAAGAAATTGAAATGTCTCTCCATGGTATAAAATAATCTAGTTTGGGAGGGGTTTTGTTTCTGAAGGTAAGTGTGGGTTGGTCATGGCATTTATCAGACCTAATTAATACATAGGCCTATCAGGACAGACACTAAAAAGGAAGGTTAGTGTTTTGTATTTGTGCATCCCCAACAAAGTTATAGGACAGCTGTTACTGCATCAGTAGCAGTATATCTGTATATAGTGGCATGTTTGACGAGGCCTTGGGTGATATGGTTTAGTGTGAGGTGTTCCTGCCCATGGCAGGGGGGTTGGAACTTGATGATCTTAAGGTCCTTTCCAACCCTAACTATTCTATGGTTCTATGTTTTCCTTACGTTCTTGTAACTTCACATTTATGAGGAGTGCACTGTCTCTGTGCAACCTGAAATGACTGCATTTGGCTGTAAACTGAAGTGGCAGTATTGCTATGCTATGCGGTGTTGCAGTAATCCACCTTGGAACACACAGAAGTAGCATCTTTTGGAAAAACAAACAAAACCAACTGGTTTATTGCTATTTAACTTGCTTTAAAAATGTGTGTCATGACTTCCAGCTGAAAAAGTTCAGATGATGCCACCTTCTGCACTGTAGCTTGCAACCATTCCTTTTGTCTCTGTTAATGATCACTGCTTTCACCAACCACATTGGTATTTCTGCAGTTGAGGGCAATCATGGTGTATATGCTTCTGATTAGGAAAATTCCAGCTATGAATGTGAAGTAGCTGCCATAAATGAGAAACTGAGCAATGGCAGTGGGGAAGAAAGATAAGGAAAAATTAAAAACTACTTCTACTCTTAGGTAGTAACTTAAGAGTGTCCCTCTGCTGCTGCCTTCCCTTCCATGCTACCCACACCCCAAAATGATCCCATCTTGAAAGGATTCAAGAAGTCTGGATGCTTGACTTCATACTTTAGGAAGTCTGTGGCTGTAAAATGAGAGGAGGGTACTGTACTATGTGCTTCCTCTCCCCACGTCAGTTAAGGGAGGAGGACAGCTATCCTGCACTTCTTGGCTCTTCTCTGAAAAGATGGAAACTAAAGATTTGAACCTCATTCTGTACACAAGTTTAAACTTCATATTTAGAAATTGAATGGGAAATTGTGAGATCACTAACTTCTCAGAATTACAGTAACTTAAATGTGCATCCATGGAAACAATGTATCTTAGAATTACCCTAGTAATAAATCTGTAGGTTGCCTTTCAGCTTGCTTCCTGCTTCTGTTGGGATATTCTGGCAGTAAATATGTGAATTTGAAGCCTTTGAAGAAATGAACAAAACAAAAACAATAGTGAGTAATAGGTGGTGGTCTTTCCCTTCTGCTCTATGAAAACACTCTTAAAATTATTAGAGAAAAGCAAAATTAGCAGGACTGGGGGACAACTAGGTTGCAGTAGCTACTGCCAGTGCACTTCAGATGAACCTGTTTTTCAAGTGAGTAACTGCCCTAAGCTAGGACATAACCCAGTATATTACCAATGGCTAATAGTGGAGTAGAACCCTCTTTTGGAAGAAGGGAGAGGAACTGAGCAGCACAAGTAATGTAGCTTACCTGAGTGCTGATACCAAGTCCCAGACCTTTTGAATCTACTACAAGAACAGTTAAAATTGTCTGAATCACCAGTGCAACGAAGTTGTTAAAGCCAAACATCAAAGCATAGCGCTCCATGCTTAGATTGACGGCAATCTGAAACCTGAAAATGAATGTGCAGGAGAACAAAATCACGGAGAACAAATACATCTGCAGTTTTACTTATGGGAGGAAGTTTGGGAATAATTTAATGTGCACGGTGAATTCTTCAAAGGACAAAGCCTTAGCTATTAAGCTTCAACAGCACCATTTTGGCAGAAACCTGGCTTCGGTGCTTTTGTGCATCCTACTTATCTTGAGTGGATATTTTAGTTTAAGACTTGTGCATGATCATTTAGAGAGTACTTGTACATAGATCATTAGAGAACTAGGTGTAGGATAAGATTGTTTCTGACTTGGAATAACCTGTTGTAATAGGTCATAAATATAAGCATAATTTTTATAAGCTGGAAATATGTGCTGCTGTCATGACCCATTTAAAAAATTTATTTCTATGAAAGCTTTCAATAAAATTCAGGTAAATTTGAAACTGTGACACTGATTTAAATGAATTAAAACAGTTGTGTCTTATACTTACGTTGCTATTGTTATAAGGAGTATATAACATGCTTTAAAGACAAGGTAACCAGCATAACATGCCCAGATGTTATCAGTAAAGTGCATGAGAAACAGAGAACCAGCATCCATTGCAGAGAAAATTCCCAAAGCCAGTTCTCCAGAAAGATCCCAGTTTACTTTGACATATCCAACTGCCATGGATGTTGCAGAACCTAAAAATGTAAAAGTAGTAATTGGAACTCTGAAACTTTATCCTTCTAAAACCATTGCATAACTGTGTAAATGGATCACACCAGGAGCTCTGGTGACTGTTACAGTTGCAATGGGCTTTGGTAATGGTGTGGTTTGTATTTTCTGCTAGTGGTGTGGGAGACTTCTGTTGGTTTGGGTGTTTTTCTCCTTGCTTACAGAGCCTGCACAAACTGTAGTCCTCTTGAGAAAGTGCCTCATGCCTAAGGCTGGGGGCAGCGGTGCACAGTCTATTATTGCTTTGTTTTTTGACAACTGTGAGCAGAGAGAACAATCCTACCAACCATTTTCTGCCAAAATATAAATGGACTTTTTCCTTCATGGAAAGATCTTTATGAAAAGAAAATCTGTTGCACTCCATGCTTGCTTTTTTTTTTTTAATCTATATATTTTTATTATTTTTCAATGAAAATGTAATTGTAGTTTTTGATAAATTTATGAACTGCATTTCTCAATGCCTTATTGACCTTCACATATAGTAAAAAACTTGACTGTAATATGGTATAAAAGAGCTCCAGGCCTTGAATCATTTTCTGGTTTTTCATGGGGCTTTTTTTGTTTTGTTTTCAGTTGTGGTTTTTGTGGTTTGTGAGTTTTTGGGTTTGCTGGGATTTTTGTAATCTCTGCTTTCCCAGTGTCTCCAATCCTGAGGCATTGATCAGGATACAGATGCAGTCACAGTATATTTATTTGTTCAGGAGCACTTACCCTGAAGTGATCTTTAGTTAACAGTCTTAAACAGACTATCTAGAGCAGAGTAGCTGTTAATATGCTCTTATAATTCTTAAACCACCCAGCTTAAATTATATTTGAGGGAGGCATATGAAAGGTGTCATTGCACAGGGTTTTTGAAGTGTTTACTTTGGGTTAAATTCATGGTCTAAACAGCTGTGATCTTAAACACTTAAAATGCTTTGGCGGAATAAGGCTCCCTTAAGAAAGGAAAGCTTATCTCTATATATTTAAGATTAGTTTCAAAGACTCCACTGATAAAGTTGTAGACCAAAAGCACAATGTGCACACTGTTTTGGGTATTATATATTGGAGGTTGTTGCTGTTGACCTTGGCCCTATTAGAAGAGATAGAAAGGTATGAATGACATTGCTGAAGAATACCATCAGCACAGGACAGGTTAGAAGTAATTGGTAATGATCTTTACTTACCTAGAAAAGTTGCAATTGCTTCAACAGCTCCGTTGTACACCGCAGAGCTGTGAGAGGGGGCTCTGAAGTCCCACAGCACTTGGATATAATTCAGGACCTGGTTAAAGCCTGCTGTAGCCAGAGCCCACCACAGGGACCAGTAGAGAAGTTTCCTAGAGCTGTAGCAATCCCTCAAGTCCTTGCTCAGCTGCACCAGAACCCTGAGCACATGATTCTGTGGCTTGGCATTACCAGCCTGCTGTTCAGGGGCTGGTCCCACGTCAGCAGATGGAGAGCTCTTGTCCTCTTGACAGCTCAGTGGCCTGTCGGAGCTGACCGTAGCCACTGTTTTATGTGTTCCTGGGAGAGCTTCTGCGATCCGTTTCCTGTGGAAGAACATACTCTTCTGGGGCATTGGGAGGAAGAGCGAACACAGGAATGCCAGGGACACAGAAGCCAAAGTAATGGCGTTAAGGTGAAAGTAGGATACATCTGCTAAGGAAACCAGCAGCTGTCCCAGCACAGCACCAGTGGTGGCTGCAACCAGAGTGATACTTCTGCAATAGCTCGTCACTCTCTGATAGTGATCAGTGCTGACAACACTGTAGATGTAGGCGTAATAGGCGACCTCGGTGGCTGTCACCATCCCGTAGAAGAATTCCACTATCTGCATGGCCACCACTCCACGTGCGAAGAGGAGCAAAAGCCACGTGACGATAAAGCTGATGCCTTGGAGGAGGAGGACAGGCTTGTAGCGCATATAGTCTGTAATGAGGAAGACTGGGAGAAGGAGTGCAAGATAGGAGTATGTCCAAACTGGGAAAACCTGGTTTGTAACCTAGAAGATAACAAAAGAAGACTTTTCTTTCTTTTTTCTACTAAATTAATTTGAAATGTTTCTGAGGCTTTTTGATCATGGTGTTGAAGGATCACAGTTGTAACAGGAAACACTGGATTGTGTGAATTGTGCAGGCTTAAATTGCCTTGGGGTTGGACTAGGGGATCTCCAGAGGTCCCTTCCAACCCTAATGATTCTGTGAGTCTTTGAATCTGTAAGCAAATTATGAAACTGTAAATGAGCTCCTTCAGGAGGCAAACACAGTAATGCTAGGCTCCACTAATAGGTAGATTGGCTGAAAAATAATTCCAGTAAAAGCCTATTTTTCTGCCTTAATATTTGCTACTGCACATCAGGAATTACTGTTCTTCATATTAGCTGTATGTGGGTGAACCAATCTTGTCTTTTCTAATTATACCATAGCTCCATGACTCAGCTACTTGTTAACGATGCCCACTGTTGTGGGGAAGTGTACACCCAAGGCAGTCAGTGCTGAACAGAGGAACAGAGCAAAGGCAACTTGAAGCACAAGGTCTTGTCCAAAAAAAAAAAACAAACCCCAAAACCCCACACAAACAACAAAACCCACCAAAACAAAAACCCACCACCAACAATAAACCTCCCCCCCCAAAAAAAAACAAACAAAACAAACACCCCAGCAGGTAAACAGACAAAAAAAACCCAAACCCTACAGCTTTTTAAAGTATGAATCTGGCCCCACAGGCTAATGAATGTATAGGGCAGCCCTGTAATGTAGGTAGCAATCCAACAGCTCATCTGGGGAAGTCCCCTTGGTTATCATTTGCAATCACTGTGTCATTGTCAGTGTAATCCATTCTGTGGTAAGTATAAATAAGTCTTAGTGTTGCCCCTCTTCTGAGGTTCTAGGCTGAGAGGAGCCAGTTGACCTGACTTTGCTGAAAATATCAGTTTCTTGAACAACCATAATAGTGGCTTCAAAGTCTTAAGAATGTAGGGACTTCAGTTTTGACTTTCTGCAAGAGAGGGGACTCCTTAATCTTTTCCAGAAGCATCTTACATATGAGTTTCCACATAAAATATACCTGTATTACTGAACACTTCATCTTGCCTTCAGTTATTGGTATGCAAGTAAGAGTTAATGCTTTAAGCATTTAATTATTACTTAAAAGAATAGTTACTTCTTCAATTGTTAGGTTTTTGTCTGGTCCAGTTAGATAAGGAGTGAGAAAAGATTCTGATGGCCTCATCGTGGAGAAGAATCCATTTGCACATATGATCAGTGTGGGATTAATCCAGCTGCGGCCTACGGCTCCCTTCCAGCAATACATAGTCCTAAACAAAGAAAGAAAAAATAGAGCACAACAGGAATTTTATAAAGATTCTCTTCACAGTTGTTAAAAACTCATTTGCAAGTTTACTTTTAAACTGTCCTTACCCACAGCCCTGCTGAAGCCATAACCAGCAGCTTACTCTGGGCTTGGCAGATGGCTGGCAATGGTGGGGGCTGTCGGGAATGGTGACCCAGAGTTCTTGCTGGTATGCAAACATGACCATAATCCAGTTATCTTGCTTTCTAAATAGTGGGCAGCCTGGACCATGTCCAGCTCTCCTGCACAGCAGCAGGCTGCACATGGGGATCTCATCTCAGGTAGGGATGCCTTGAGGTTAAGAAATTCCTTGCCGCAACAAATTATGGATAAATGATTAATAGCACATTAACTTTGAAATCTTAATTAAGTGGTATAAAGGCTTGCTGTGAATATATAATCCTTTAGACATAGCTGTTGACCAAATCTGGGACTAGGATTGAATCTAGCTGCACTTAGCCTCTTTCTAAGGAGGAATTGATAAAGCAAGAAGGTCCTTCCTGAATCTTGCACCTCAGTGGGAGGTATCACTGACGGTTTTGTTCTACCATGCCCTCTTACGCAGTAAATAATCAAACGTACTTTGCTAGTGAGTCTTGTAAAACCACTGTCACATTTACCATTGAAATTAAAGTATGTTCTTGCCTCTTGTGAGTGAAGTGCATGACACCGTCTGTGACACCCAGTTCTGCTAATGTTTCTCTCACTAAACCTGCCAGTGATTACAGATGCAGCTTGTAAATGAACAACTTGGATCAAAGTGCATTGGTGGCAGTAAGCTCCAGCCTTTGTATTGTCTACCAAAGGTTGTTTTTAGTGACAGAATTGAGTGGATGTATCGTAGTGAAAGGATGAAGTTCCATTACAATCTCACTTCTGAATGAGTGAAACTGTGAGATTAAGGTTCTATGTCAGCATGCTCAAGAAGACTTTTTCTTTTTTTTTTGTTTTTGGTTAATTTGCAGCCTGAGAGCCAAGTGGAACAATAGAAGTACAAGCCTTTCTGCAGACCATAAAAAGCCACCAGTCAGCTTGCAACCCATTTTAAGCTCAGTTTCTTCAAAATGCTTTAATATTTACCATATTTCTTGCACTTTAGTCATTTTAGTGGGGAAAGAAAGATACAGAAACTATCTGCTCATGGTACCTGCTCAGTCCTAGAAAAAAAGAATATTGACTTCATTTTTGAAAGTAATGATCAAAAGGAAAAGTGGGATTTGTTTCTTCACAGTAGTTGGCTGCAAAAAGAAGTCTAAAGAGATTAGGGGTTGGGGTTTCTAAAGCTTATTTTGCTTGTTTTGCCTTAGAAAGTCAATTCCACTGTTCCTGGAAAGCAAGCAAAACAATGTTCTGAAACATAACAGAATGAAAGCAACACATTGATATTTAATCAAGCTGTTACAAGCTATTCCTTTTAAATAGCAGAATTTTTTACATCAGACACTTTCATAAGTGCTTATACTTGCACTGTGTGATTGTATTTATTAAAACTTAGCATAAATAGTATGTTGTTAAGGCAGTATTTCTGTGACCTCAGAGGAATGTTACAAAAACCAGTCTGAACCTTAAAACTTTATTTTAAATTATTGCCTCTAATTACCATCTTTCTCTTACAAATTGCTGCATATAGAATCATAGAATAGTTAGGGTTGGAAAGGACCTTAAGATCATTTAGCTCCAACACCTGTGCCATGGGCAGGGACACCTCACATTAAACTATGTTACCCAAAGCTCTGTCCAACCTGGCCTTGAACGCTGCCAGGGATGAAGCATTCACAGCTTCCCTGGGCAACCCATTCCAGTGCCTCACCACCCTAACAGGAAAGAATTTCCTTCTTATATCCAGTCTAAACTTCCCCTGTTTAAGTTTTAACCCGTTACCCCTTGTCCTGTCACTACAGTCCCTAATGAATACAGCCTATACTATCTTTAGATCTGCTTTGAAATATTTTGATAGCTACCTCTTCAAAATAAAACTACATTAAAACCTGGACTTATCAGTAACATCAGCATAATCTTGCATTACTTGCAAATGCACTGAGAACATGAGTGGCCAGCATGCTTCCAAATAACTCCAAAAGTAACGAATTACCTGTCAAAGCTGCGGCTGTGGTGCATTTCCTGTGGATTCATGTGCAGTTTCTTCCTAGGATGACTTCTGTCTTTTGGAAGAGAAGTCAGAAACCACCCTTCAGGATTGCAGGTAGTAAGAAATTTCTGCCTGTTTCTTAAAAGTTCATTCTAGACTTCATAAAATGTTAACAGACTTTATATAATAATAATTCAACAGAGTTCTTGCTTGCAGAATTTATCCATGAAGATTGCAGGGGAAGCTTTTTCCTTTACAGGTTTTGTCAGCAAACTAATCTAATTTTTAGATAAAGCTTTAAGACTCACAGTGGCTAATGATTAATACAAACTGACATAGCAGGAATGCAATCATGATTGCATTTCTGTGTTACTGAATACCTTTAAAAGCTTTGGACTCTGATTCATGGGTAAAACGCAGCATCCATTTTACAGTTCGGGCTCACCCTGACCTACTCCTGTGCATAGTGTGGTGGCCTCTGGGCTCATGGGGTCTTTTCTATCCGTCCTGGCTTTGCTGGGGATGAGGGGAGGTAGGACATCCAACAACTCATACTATTAGTTGCCCAGGAATTGGTTCCATATAAGGACCAATCTGTCATTTAAGAGTAAATTGACAAGAAGATGAGCTTCTAAGTCTATCCTCTAGGCTGAAAAAGTCAAACCTGAAGTACTTCAGAAAAATGCTGCTGCTTTGCTTTCCTTAACTCAGTGATTATTTATTTTTAATTTAATTATTCTATTGTATTTTTTTTAATTGTTTTTCTTAGGCTGGGCTCCCTACACCTTCCGCTGTTTGTCAGAGGGCAGAGTTAACTGTGAAGCCTGTTGTTGGAGTGGGTATTGACAGTGGGAGCATGCTGTGGCACAAGGGGCTCTGTATACTATTCAGAGCAGCTCTGTGAGCTGAACAGAGCCTGGTCTTGTTCTACAGGTGGGGAAAGCTCTCACACCACTTGGAGTGGGTAGTGCAACCAGGCAGGCAGTGTTCAGAGAAGCCAGGCTTGCCTCTGCATTTCTTTACCAGTGATTACAGAGAAAGGGAAAGAACCAGTGAGAAGATGCTGCTGGGTAGGTCTACTGGACTGCTGAAAGGTGGCTGCTGACTAGCATTTCTCTGGTAACCTGTGTGGTGCTGGGTTAATACCTTCTTGCTTTGAATGCAAAGATACAATTTGTTTGCTGCCTTGTTGGCCAGAACTGGGCTTATCAGCTCGCTGGACTGTACCTTCATAGAAGACTAGTGCCCAAACCTACCAGTGTTTCAAAGGTAGGTAGTGTTGTGTTGAAAGGGGGGTGTAGCTATGGGGAGCGATGTGCTTGGCTTTGGTTTTTCATATTTGCGTGGAGTCCATTAGTATGCTGAGAGAAAGATAAAGAGTGAATGCTAAAACCTTCAAGGACAGGTGGATTGGTTCAGTTTCCTTTTCCTACAGAACTAGGGCCTGTGGTTCCAGCCTTATAACCTGCTTAGCCTCAACTACTTCCACTTCAAAGAGTGTAAGTAGAAGAATACACAGGTAGATGTGTGCATCTTACTGTTTTGGATGAAGTCTCTGGTCCCTGGGTTAACACTGATTCACAGCTGAAAACGTGGGGTAACATAAGGTCTTACCGTTCTCTTCTGCTTCCAATGTGTTATGTCCTTCATAACACTTTGAAGAGCTGTCATCTTCCTTTTCTATTCCCCCAGTGCTCCAAAGTCCCAACCTCGGAATCTTTCTTTTGGAAATTCAAGAGAATAGGAATAGAGTTTTTTTCTTTTCTTTCTTTTTTTTTTTTTTTAAGTCTTATCTGTTTTACAAAAAGTACTTTCTACATCTGCAAAACACATACATTGTGTCTACTTGGTTCCTTTGCTCCTTACTGGCATCCCATGTACATGGAAGGCAGTGAGTTCTGACCAGTTCAGAACGGAGGAATTTTTATTGTTATTTCTACCAACTTTTCTAGATTCTTTCCTGCAGCTTATTATTGCCTTTTTTTTTTCTTTTTTGAGATGTGACACAGAAATATTTGTTAACTTTCTGTACCAAAGGCAGTTTGAGACTGTGGAGCTGGACATACCATGTTCTTTTTCATTGAAACAAAGTCTAGTTAGATTCTAGTCCAGGACTAGTACCTAATTCTTGAACTAAATGCCTCAAGAGCATTTAGTAGTAGTAATCTGGGTGACATGGTTTAGTGGGAGATGTCCCTGCCCATGGCAGGAGGGTTGGAACTAGATGATCTCAAGGTCCTTTCCAACCCTAACTATTCTATGACTCTATGATTCTAAGAGAAGATTCCTACTCACAAGAAAAAGTGAAATAAAACAGTCTTTGCTCTACTGGACTTTGTCCTTGTTTCTTCAATCAGGAATATCATGCCCTTGATTTTGCAGTAATAAAAGATACTTACTACTCAGTGGAGACTAAGTAAATCTGCTTTTACAGCTGTTCTGCTTAGAAGCAGTTTATAACAGAGAGTGCCCACGCAAAACACGATAGTAAACTAAAAGCCTAGAAAATTAGCTGGGTTCATTTTGTCAAGTCATACTGATTGTTCTTATTACTTGAAACAAATTGATTCTCTCCTGTCTGTTTTCACCTCTGGACAGTTTGTCTAGTTGCAGTATATGACAACTGTATGAAAAGCACATAGGTCTGTAGAAATGATAGCTTGTGTGTCTACAGGAATAATATTATTCTTTAAATGTCAAGTAGCATCTATTTTTATTAGAAGTAGGTATTGGAAGCTAGAAGCAAATAGCAGTACAGAAATAACTTCAACATATGGATATAATTTATATTAAACTAGGCATTCACTATGCAAACTCATTTATAGCCCCTTTTTTCTTCTCCTGGACTAACTGTCCTTTGTGCTGGACTAAATTAGCTGTAGGACTTGAAGCTTCTTGATAAATTCTGAGATGCTGATCCTGCCAAATCCTTGAACAAAATCAATGGACCTCCTTCATTTGGCACTCAAAAGCACATATGATGCTAGCTTTTCGCTTCAGTTATAAATTTTCTTTTGATGTTTGTGTTAATCTGGAGCTTTCCTGTGCAGAATAAGCTGAATTTCTCCACAATGTATTTCTCTGGTTTTAGTCTGTATTACTCAGTCCTTTTTTGATTTTTTTTTTTCTTTTGCTGTTGAAATGGGAAGACACTCAGTCTTGAATTTAATTTTACTGGAAGCACAAGGAAAGGAGGAAGGGGTTTCATTTTGTTTTGACTCTGAAGTTTTTTCATTCTGGATTGAGATTGTACTGAGTCCATAGCAGTGTTTAGGTCGTGGCTTTCAAGTGTGGGCTGAGCAGTGTTTTAGTGAAACTTCTCAGATAGGTTGTGCAAACCCTGCTTTTCTGAACCCTTGTGTGCAAAATGCCTGCTTCTGACATGGGCTTTTAAATTAGAAGGGAGGAGCCTGTCATCAAATTGCCTGTAGTTAGGAAAGAATATAATGATGCAAGTACAGCCCCTTCTTCCTTGGTTCCTTGGTGGGGAGATAGACCCCTTAACTTTCTTGCATAAGCAAAGGTGCATGGAAGCAGCTTGCCAACACCATATACAAGAGCTAGAATAAGCAAGGCAGGGTTAACTCTAATCTCTGCCATTGTGCACAGTGCAATGCCAAGATGGTTGCTCTATCCTTGTATGTAAATAACTTCTATCAAGCTATTTGTAAGCAAGTAAATAAGAACCTAAAGCAACTTATCTTTTTCTTCTTGGCACAGTGCTATTATGATGATCTCTTAGCTGGCATATGTTGTAATAGAATGCTGTAATGATTCAGCATAGCTTTTCAGGGCTGTGTTGTACATTCATCTTGCACTGCTGTTCCCTGCATGCTGCAGCAGAAACTTCTCCTGCTAGGGTATGGCCATGTGAGGTTGTCTGCCTGACTCATACAGCCATGTTATATAGCCAGCTACAGTTGCTCTTCATAAGATCTTGTTATTTTCCTTTAGCATTTGCTTGAGACAAGTGTGCAAATGCTTCTGATCAAGAAAATTCCACTTATGACTGCAAAGTAGCTGCCATAAATTAAAAACTGGGAGGGGGAGAGAAAAAGACAAAGGAATTAATGAAAAACACATTAGGGAAACATTGCTGGTTTTTTTTGTTGTTGTTTTTTTTTTGTTGTTTTTTTTTTTTTTGAGATGTCAAGCACTCTTTTGTTTACCTGTGTTCTGGCACACTTTTTTTATGCTCAAGTTTTTACTTTGTGATTAAGCAAAATCTTAGCTTTTCCAGCAAACAGCAGATCTTTGAGGAATAGAGAACTGCCCCTTGCTTCCATTCTTATGCCTCTTAATTAACATCAGGGGGTAAAGGATAGGAACAGGATTTTTTTCTATTTGTGCAAAATCTAGAAGTAGCTTCATTACCCGTGGTCATGAATATTGCAAGTGACTTTTGATCAGTGTTTCCAACAACAGAGGCAAGGCTATTTATGAAGTCTTCATATTCCTGTCCTTAATTTCAAAGTTTTGGTTTTAGTGTTTAATTCAATCTTTAATTTTTTAAAATTACTTCTGCCTTCACTGTGTGGAATATCTGAATAGCTTTAGTCTTCTTCCATAGAGTAGGAAGCTGCCTCAGCTGAGATCGCATTTAAGAAAGTGCTGAAGTCGGTACATTTCACTTCATTCTGACATGAGTGGAATTGGGCTGACTGAAGTTAGGGACACTTTTGAGGTACCATATCCCACCCCAACTTAAGTGCGCAAGCTATGGGCAAGACACTTTATTATTCACATTGAGATACAGACCAGGTTTGCTTCTGCTCTGGAACGAGAAGGCAGGTGTCCTTCCTTTTCACATGAGCTGAAATTAATTCATTAATCTAGGCTGTGTTTCACAGCCTTGAACTTTCCTAACAACATGTAGCCATGTTGATTCTACATCTAAGAAAATCAGAGGATGCTATTCAGTGTCCTATTAATTAGCAATCTGATCAGATAGCAGTGCCTCATTATTTATTCTCTGCTGTATTTGCCTTTGAATAGTTAAAGACCAGTATCTGTAATCCTAAATATTGCACTAAAAGTTGAAAGGGAATAATTATGGTAGGCATGAGGGAAAAGCAAGATGTATAGATTTCTATAGAAGAAAGAGGGAATTAAATTGTCCTTTGGAATAGCAATTTCTTTCTTGGTAAGCTTTTGAAAATTAAGTAAATTAAGTTAAATTAATTAAATTACTATTAACTTACTTCCTGTTTACTTAATCAAAATTAAGTAAATTAATTTTTAATTAAGTAAACAGGAAGTAAGTTAATAACACTTACCTGAATCACTATGTCCAGTCCCAGGCCTCTTGAATCCACAATAACTACTGTAAGAATGGTCTGAATCACCAGTGCAATAAAGTTGTTGAATCCAAACACCAAGGCATAACGTTCCATGCTCAGGTTGACTGCGATCTGGAACCTAATATGAGACTGGCATATCAATTACTTCACACTGGGTGGAAAGCTGTTGCCTTCCATTTACTTGATGAAGGGAAACGATTCAAGCAGATGATATATGGAGGACAGAGTAAATGATGTTTCATTTGTTTGTAGAATGGACTGAAATGGTTCAGGTGTGATCCACTATAATGTACTAACAACCACCAAAATGAAAATAGAAGATTCACTTGGTTTCATTCAAGATAGATAGGCATAATCTTGTAATGCATTTCAGTATAGCAGGTTTTTCAAAAGTTGTCTGAAT